GTACTCAAATTTTATTCTTTGCATTACTAGGCCAACCCCGTTTTAACCCTTTAATTCTCATCAACGAGAATAATCCACTCCTAATTAACTCTATTAAATGTCTCCTCCTTGGAAGTGTATTTGCAGGATATATCATCTCCCACAGCATTACACCTACCACCATCCCACAGATAACTATGCCTCATTATCTAAAAATATCTGCCCTTGCAGTGACCATTTTAGGTTTCATCCTGGCACTAGAACTAAACCTCACAATACAAGGGCTTAAATTTAATTACCCGTCCTACACCTTCAAATTTTCAAATCTTGGCTATTATCCAACCATTATACACCGCCTCACACCTAAGATAAGCCTGTCTATAAGTCAAAAATCAGCATCAATACTCCTAGACTCACGCTATTTGACTAGAAAATATTTTACCCAAAACAATCTCACATTTTCAAATAACATCCTCCACCTTAGTTTCTAACCAAAAAGACCTAAACTATACTTTCTCTCCTTTATAATTACCATAACCCTTAGCCTACTAATCCTTAATTACCACGGGTAACCTCCATAATTACCAACACACCAGTCAACAACGACCAACCAGTGACAATCACTAATCAAGTACCATAACTATATAATGCCGCAATTCCCATAGCTTCCTCACTAAAGAACCCTGAATCCCCAGTATCATAAATAACCCAGTCTCCCATTCCATTAAATTTTAATACTACCTCAACCTCATCATCCTTTAAAATATAGCAGGCAGTTAACAATTCAGATAATAAGCCAGTAATAAAAGCTGCTAATACAGCCTTATTAGAGACTCAAACTTCAGGATACTGTTCAGTGGCCATAGCAGTCGTATAACCAAAAACTACAAGCATACCTCCCAAATAAATCAAAAAGACCATCAACCCTAAAAAAGACCCCCCAAAATTCAACACAATTGCCCAACGAATCCCACCACTAATAATCAGTACAAGCCCACCATAAATAGGAGACGGCTTTGTAGCAAAACCTACAAAACTCATTACAAAGACAATGCTTAAAATAAATACAATGTATGTTATCATTATTCCTACATGGAATTTAGCCATAACTAATGACATGAAAAATTGTTGTATTTCAACTATAAGAACATTAATGACCAACATTTGAAAAACTCACCCACTAGCTAAAATTGTTAACAGCTCATTTATTGATCTCCCTGCACCATCAAACATCTCTGCTTGATGAAACTTTGGATCTCTGCTAGGCATGTGCTTGATTCTACAGATTATAACAGGTTTATTTCTAGCTATACACTACACATTAGACACATCAACAGCCTTTTCATCAGTCACTCATATCTGTCGAGATGTTAATTACGGCTGAATCATCCGTTATATACATGCAAATGGAGCCTCTATATTCTTTATCTGCCTATTCATACATGTAGGACGAGGCTTATACTATGGATCCTATGTATTCATAGAAACATGAAACATCGGAATTATTCTCTTATTCGCAACCATAGCCACAGCATTCATAGGTTATGTCCTACCATGAGGACAAGTATCATTTTGAGGAGCCACAGTCATCACAAATCTTCTCTCAGCTATCCCTTATATTGGAACTAACCTAGTAGAATAGATCTGAGGCAGCTTCTCAGTCAATAAGGCAACCTTAACATGATTTTTTGCATTCCATTTTATCCTCCCATTCATCATCGCAGCCCTAGCAATAGTCCACCTATTTCTACACGAAACTGGATCCAACAACCCCTCAGGAATCACATCTGACTCAGACAAAATCCCATTCCATCCCTATTATACAATCAAAGACATTTTAGGAGCCCTACTTCTATTTTTAGTACTGATATCACTAGTTTTATTTTCACCAGACCTACTAGGAGACCCAGACAATTATACTCCTGCAAATCCCCTCAACACTCCCCCGCACATTAAGCCTGAATGATACTTCCTATTCGTCTACGCCATCCCACGATCCATCCCCAATAAGCTAGGAGGGGTTCTCGCCTTAGTATTCTCCATCCTAATTCTAGCAATTATCCCCTTACTTTACACATCCAAACAACGTGGAATAATATTCCGACCCCTCAATGTTTATTCTGATTACTAACAGCCGATCTACTCACATTAACATGAATCGGGGGACAACCAGTAGAGCACCTCTTTATCATTATTGGCCAAATCGCCTCCATTCTATACTTTATCATCCTCTTAGTCCTACTACCAACTATTAGTATCATCGAAAACAATCTCCTAAAATGAAGAGTCTTTGTAGTATATTTATTACCTTGGTCTTGTAAACCAAAAATGGAGACTAATCACCCTCCCTAAGACTCAAGGAAGAAGCACCAGCTCCACCATCAGCACCCAAAGCTGAAATTCTTCTTAAACTATTCCCTGATAACAAACCCTCCTCTATTCATATATTGCAACAACTCTACTGTGCTATGCCAGTATGTCCAAAATTTCTTTTTTTCCCTCCCCTATATACGTCGTGCATTATTGGTTTGCCCCATGCATATAAGCCCCTCAGGGAGCCCGACGTGGGACTCGATCCCAGGTCTCCAGGATCACACCCCAGGCTGCAGGCGGTGCCAAACCGCTGCGCCACCGGGGCTGCCCTGGACAGTCATTTTATTTTATTTTATTTTATTTTTTTATTTTTTTTAATTTTTTTTAATTTTTTTTAATTTATGATAGTCACAGAGAGAGAGAGACAGAGAGGCAGAGACACAGGCAGAGGGAGAAGCAGGCTCCATGCACCGGAAGCCCGATGTGGGACTCGATCCCGGGTCTCCAGGATCGCGCCCTGGGCCAAAGGCAGGCGCCAAACCGCTGCGCCACCCAGGGATCCCTGGACAGTCATTTTAAAGCGCAATCTAAACAATAGAAAATGTGTACACCACTTGACAAGAATTTTCCCTCGTGGCATTAATCTTTAAAAAAAACAGAAAAATGTGTGAAGATATATGTACGTGTTTTTATAATAGTGAAAAAACAAAAAACTTTACCCCCAAAGGAGGAATTATTTAAATCATAGTATATCCAAAATAACTAATATTATGTAATAATAAAAATGACATTGTGGATATACATTTTATTGATAAGAAAAGCTATATATAACAATGTGGAAAAATAGGTCATAAAATAACAGCAAGATCTAATTTTGGTGTTATCTTTAAGTGAGACAGGTATGATTTTTCTTTCTGCTTTTTTATATTTTCCATTTTTTTCTTTAACATATATAACCTATATAAAACACACATATGCAACTCTCAACCACAACCTTTCCAAAGCTTTCTACAGATTTCAGGAAAAAGTCCACGCTCCAGCCTCAGCCCATCATGCCCTGGCTCTCATCCTACTGAACTCTTCCAAACCTCTCTCAGTTCCTCCAGTGACCCTTGTGCTCTCTTGCCTCCATCTTATTCATCAACTGAGGCTTCGTTCAGGTATCCATTCCCTTTCCAATTTTTCCAGGAAAGGAAATTTTCCAGGAGCTGTTGTCCCTGTTGTCCCTTCTCTTCCTCCCCCAACAACCACACCTGCCCTCAACCCCATGGTCAAAGTTAGAAACTTCTTCAACATTCCATTTATACAATACACAAATACACATTATATTGTATATTTATATATATAAAGAGGAACACAAGTTCCTCTTTATTTACTCTACTCCTAGCACAGAACCTAGCACTCCGCAGGGACTCCAATGTTTGCTGAACAAACTCAAGGAGCACTTGAAATACAGTTATCTTGGCCTGGTGCTTTAAATCTCTGGTTGTTTATGACATTCCAGGTAGAAAGTAAAGATAGCCATTGTTCATGCAGCTCCAGAAGGACCAACAGAGTTCTACTGAAGGCAGATTTGAACTTCTATTATCTATCTTCTCAAATACTATCTGTGAGAGAGTGAGAGATGCCATGTGAGAGAGTCAGCTCATTGTTGCTAGAATTACAAGTGGAGGATCCTCTATAAGAATGTTGTTAAAGGAGTTCTCATACAGGGTATGTGAGGTTAGAGCTACGTGAGGTGAGAATTATCACCCCAAGGTTCCTCGCAATGCTAAAATCTGATGTTCTGTATGAGGCTCTTCAGTCTGGAAAAAACTGCTAACTGCTAATAATTTATGTGAACTCTAGGCTCTGAACCCTTTATTAAAACAGTATGTCCCTTGGAATGGTGTCTAGCCTTAACAGAAGTAAACTTCCTTAATATATATATATTTTTAAAGATTTATTTGAGAGAGTGCATGTGTGTGCTTGCACGTGTGCACATACAGGTGAGCAAGAGGCGGGAGGAGCAAAGGGAGAGGGAGAAGCAGACTCTTCATTGAGCAGGTTGCCCAATGTGATACAACATGGGACTCGATTCCCAGGACCTGGGATCATGACCTGAGCTGACAGCGCTTAACTGACAGGGACACCCAGGTGTCCCCAAACTTAATATTTTAACAGATCTCATATTACTTTTTGAAATGGTTTACTTTCTCATCATGACATCTTGAAACTTCTACATGCATGTGATACATGAAGAAACAGATGGCTTTAGAGAGAGTTTTGGGAATATTACAGATGCTTGCTACTTTACAAACCTGTTATGCTAAAGCATAATGTTCTCTTAATATTCAGAAGCTATGGAGACATACTGGATTATCTTCAAGGTGTTTGCTAATAATCTATAAATAAATGCACTTATGAACACAATGGATAAAGCAATTAAGATTCATAGCTTTCTGAAGAAGTTATTCAGGATAAACAATTATTTCCCTATTATCAGCATTTCCCTGCCCCTCAAATCAAATTGAGTTTTCTTTTTCCTCTTTTTGTCTTAGTTACACTTTTAATAAAATGAGGGCAAACTATGCATAAATGAACAGAATATTTCCATTCCTACCTTCAAAAAAACTTTTAAGCCAGTCTTTAAATCAAATGTTAATTCTACTTAAGAATTTTCAAGAGAGGATTCAAAAGACAAATACCAGAAAGGTAATCAAACATACCTGGTCCTTTTCAAGTGTAAGTATTTGATAGCCAGTTGTTCTACTACATATTAGTTTTCCACTACTATCAAAAGAGGCCAAACGTAATCTAGGATTAAAAAGAAAAACAGAAATAACAAACATATGATCTTTTGTTTTAAGATCTTATTTCCAAGTAACCTGTACACCCAACGTGGGGCTGAAACCCACTACCCTACAATCAAGAGTTGCGTACTCCACCGACTGAACCAGCAGGTGCCCCTAAATGGTTTTTTAACCCCAGATTAACTTAAACATGCTCTCCCTCACTTTAATATTTAACATTTTCACTTTTTATTCCATATTCTTTTATTTGATAAGTCTTTTCAAATTCTAAACCGACCCTGTTACAGATTTATACGCTTGTGCTGTTATATGTACCTGGGATCTAAAATAATTCATGAATGTCTTTTTGTTGTGGTAGAACATACATAAGATTAAAATACCATTTCTAGGTTTACAGTTCTCAGCCTTAAACACAGCCTCAAGGTCCTGCGGTCAGCACTGCCCTCCACGTCCAGAACTTCCTCCCGCCTGGACTCTGCACCCAGCGCACACGGATCCCCACCCCACCTCGCCACTGATGCCGTTCTCCTTTCTCGGTGAACCTGTCACTCTACGTACTCTGTATGAGGGCAATCGTACCCTATTTGTTTGTGACTGGCTTATTTCACTTAACATAAGGTCATCAAGGTTCATGTTGTTGCATATGTGACAATTTCCTTTCCTTTCAAGGCTGAATAAGATTCCATTGTAGGTACAGACAATATCTACGTAGAGCTCTGCTGAGGGACATGTGGGCTGCTTCCACCTTCTGGCCACTGGGAATAACCCTGCTGTGAAAATGAATATACTGATATCTGTTCCAGACCCTGCTTTCAGTTCTTTTGGGTAAATACCCAGATGAGAAATTGCTGGATCATATGCTAATTCTATGTTTAATTTTTTGAGGAAATGCCATTTCGTTTTCCACCTAGGACACACCATTTTATATTCCCACCAGCAATGCACAAAGATCCAATTTCTCCACATCCTCATCAACACTTTTTGTTGTTTTTGATAATAGCCATTCTAATGGGTTTGAGGTGCTATCTCATTATGATTTTGATTTGCATTTCTCTGATGAGTGATGTTTCATGTTTGAAAAGATGCTCATTAGCCATCTGCATATCTTCTTTGCAGAAATGTTTAAGGCCACTGCTCATGTTTGAACAAAGTTGTTAGTCTTTTTGTTATGGAGTTTTAGGAGTTCTCTAAAATTCTAGATATTAGCTCCTTATCAGATACATTGTTAGCAAGTATTTTCTCCTATTCTCTGGGTTGTTGCCTTTTTACTCTTGTGCTAGTGTCCTTTGGTACACAAGACTTTAATTTTGATGAAGTCCAATTTTTTTTCTTTTGTTATCTCTGCTTTGGTGTCATATTGAAGCAAGCACTGCCAAATCCAATGTCAAGAAGATTTCCCTCTATGTTTTCTTCCAAGAATTGTTTTATAGTTTCAGCTCTTATGTGTAGGTCTTTGATCCATTTTGAGTTAATTTTCTCATATGGTAGAAGGTAAATATATGACTTTAAAAAAATCCATTCATTAAGCAATTTTCCAACTCATCAGCATCTTCTCCAGAAAGAGCCAGGTCAACTATCCGGCAAATTTGGGACATTTGAAATCCCACAGAAAGTGAAGAACAATACCAGACATGTTTTCCTGGAAAAATACCTTGCTGTTTTTACATTCTGGACCTATAACCTGCAAGAACAGCAGCAAGGCAACAGCTTCAAGTCTATTACCAATCCTGTATCATTCATATTCTAGCCTATTCTTTCTGACATACTAGATCCATACTTTTTTGATTATTACTAACATGTCACAGCAATAAAAGCTTATTATTTCCTTGCACATTCATATATATTTTCATATATATTGTATCTTATCAAAACTCTACTATGGTTGGTGTAAATTATTGGGTTTTATTTCATTTCTTTTATTTTTTCTGGAGTGAGGAGGAGTGGGGCAGGGAAATTCATCCTACCTAAATGCTATGCTCCTTCGAGGTTGTAAACTGACAGATCCACTACATGGCTGATTCAGTGTGTTGCGTTTGAAAATGATGTATCGATTGGTGTAAGTTACAAGCAGGTCAAAGCCGAAGTTAAAACCTGTCCACCGCCAGCAGTACTAAGGAAATACAAAAGAGAAAGATTTACTTCAGTTTATCACACTAGCAAATCAAAAATAAAAATTTCAAAATGTCCTTTAACTCCTTTCAAATATTTATCCCTCATGGGTACTTTTCCTTTAAGGCTTATCACACAGAATATATCTGTGAATATATATAAAGGTTTACCATGTCGGTATAGTGTATTTCAAAGCCAGAAAAGCAGCCCTCACGGTCACCATTCTTTAAGGTACTTTCATAATATCACTTCTTCATGATCTGTTTTGTTATGTCTCCACACTGTTATTCTATCGTAAGTAATATGGCTTTTGACTGCAACTCTAAGGAGGTATAGCTTAGAGGGCTAGGAGGCTATATGGAGGTATTAAGAACCCATTAAAACCTACCTTGCTTTAAAAATACTCTAAATTCCTTAAATAACTAACAGATACATAGTCACTTTAGTTAATTTATTTTTTAAAGTTTATTTAGTTATCTCTATCCCCAACTTGGGGCTCAATATCATGACCTTAAGATCAAGAGCTGCAAGCTCTTCAAGGTCATCCAGACACCCCACAACTGGGTTATTTTAAATACCATCATGTGGTTCACAAGTTTGTTTAATCTATCACTATTAATGGACTATTAAGCAAGCTGGTAAGGTATAGTGAAGGCAAGTTAGGGCTTCAAGTGTTTGGTTGACACTATGAGTTACAACATCAATTCAATAGCTCACAGGTATTTATTGAACACATATTATGTGCCAAGTACTGCTCTAGGCATTGAAGTAAGTTTCTGCGAGGGTACAATGTGCTATTTTAATATGCGTATGTCTGTGTGGAAGGAATAGATGCAATGGAATGGAAGACAACAAAACAGAATAGAATGGCAGGACAGAGAAGCTTGCAGCTGGGGAATCTGCTGGTTCAGAGAGGTGGTCAGGTAAAGTCTCTCTAAGGAGACACTAGGTGAGCAGGGCCCTGAGTCTAATAAAGGGCAGACCAGTAACTATCTGCAGAGTGAAGTAGGCAGAGAGGACAGGAGGTACAAAGCTCTGGAGATAAAAACATGCTTGGCCTCTTTGAGGAACGTCAAGAAGGCTATATGGCTAGGGCAATCACATAGGTGGACAGAAAAATAGGAATACATTCAGAGGACTGGTCAGGGGTCAGGAAATGTAAGGCCTAGGAGTCCTTAGTAAGGAAGAGCACGCATTTCTTCTAAGTGCAGTAAGAGGCTGATGGAAAGTTCCAGGGAAGGGAGAAACATTTGAGATGATTTAACTTGCATCTAAAAAAAAAAATGATTTTGGCTGTTATATGGGAAACAAAATGTAGAAGAGCAAGAGCAAAAGTAAGGAGAGCAGTTATGAGCCTGGAGGAATTTCTGATGAACACCAGGTATGGTATTTAAGATAGAAGTATCTCAAGTTCGCAGTCTATTCAACAGATGAATGAGAGGGAGGCCCTTTATGGGTTAGAGAATTCCTTGGAAAGGAGAAAGTCTGGGGATGAAAATCAAAGAGTTCGGCTTTTATTTAAGATGCTACTAGGATTCTAAGAAAGGTATCAGGTGAATAGCTAGATATATGAATCTGGAGTTAGAAGTCATCAGTGTGAAGTCATTTGAACTAGGTGAGATTCCTTTGGAGTGAGCTTATTGCATTTATTTTCTGATGAAAGAAATAAGGTTATTAGGTAAGAATGAGACAGCACTGCCCCTTTTAAAGAAGGTCTGACAGGTACTCAAAGAATGACAGGATAAATTCAATAGGTAAATATAGGAGGGTCACCATGCAGCACCTGAAGTTTAGTTACAAACATTCAAGTGAAACCTGGTGGGGTAGTTTTTCTTTAGTCATATCCATCTATTTGAAAGCAGGAATGGAGTACATGGCAAATCAGGATTTAATAAGAATTGGGGTTTAGCCAGCTGAGCCTGACAGAGTGAAAAGGGAAGTTAGGAGTATTATCCAGGAACCAATTTTAAGATGGAACATAAAATGTAAGTAAAGAAAGAAGTAGGGATGTGATGAGAGGGTAATGGGATAAAAGGTAGTAAGAACAATGTATTATACATCCCAGTGGAGTTAAAAAATTGTTGGGAGTCCAGGTTCTAGAAAGAGAGTGCTAGAAAGATAATAGAAGTGGAATCTGAAAATGGTATGCTTGAAATGGCAATTTTGAAGGGGGTGTATTGTTTAGTAAAGCAAAAAGTGAAGATATGCTTCTTCCAGAAAATGGGTGCTGGAGGTAGGGCAGAGCTAAGATCACTGTGGGGACATAGAGACACTGAAATCACCAAGACTGACAACAAGAACAGTGATAAATATGGAGAGCCCAGTGAATGATGCTATTCAGTGGTGTAGAGTATTGAGTGGTATAGTAGAAGCATGTGCTTCAAAGGAGCTGTAGTTCAGTGAGGGAGGGAGTTGTGGAAGTAGCAACAAGGAAGACTAAGGAATAAAGAAGACAGCTACCTATTCCCTCCTTTCATATGCTACTAATATTTATCACAATTATTGAATGCAAACTTAATTAATGTCTAAAAACAAGAAAAGTTAAAATGAGGGAAAATTTGGGAGAAAAATAACTGAATGCTTATCTAAATTAGACTGATTTATTATTATCTTTAGAAGAGGGAGGGGCAGAGGGAGAGGGAAAGAAAGAACCTATAGCAGTCTCCATGCCCAGTGCGTGAGTCCATTGCGAAGCCTGATCCCACAACTCTGAGATCATGACCTGAGCTGAAATCAAGAGTCGGATGCTTAACCAACTGAGCCACCCAGACAACCCAGGCTGAATTATTTTTTAAGATGAAAATTACAGGGATCCCTGGGTGGCTCAGCAGTTTGGTGCCTGCCTTCAGCCCAAGGCATGATCCTGGAGTCCTGGGATTGGGTCCCGCATCGGGCTCCCTGCATGGAGCCTGCTCCTCCTCTGCCTGTCTCTGCCTCTCTCTCTCTGGGTCTGTCATGAATAAATAAATAAATTTTAAAAAAAGATGGAAATTACAATTAGAGTGGGATTTTAAAAATTGTAGTTCATGTCCCATTAAAATCAATTTAATGAGTCACAATAAGTTTTTTTTTTTTTTTTTTTTATAATTTTTATTTACTTAGGATAGTCACAGAGAGAGAGAGAGAGGCAGAGACACAGGCAGAGGGAGAAGCAGGCTCCATGCACCGGGAGCCCGATGTGGGATTCGATCCCAGGTCTCCAGGATCGCGCCCTGGGCCAAAGGCAGGCGCCAAACCGCTGCGCCACCCAGGGATCCCACAATAAGCTTTTTTAAAAAATTAAAAAGAAAATAGGATTTTTGGATACAGTAATAGTATTGTTTCATAATACTTTTGTTTCACTTATATACATTTATATATAGTGGTAATGAATAAAAGAAGTCTAAATGCAGGTAGCAATCAAAGGGTTTGAATGTCTTTGATTTAAGGTAATCATAAAATTTAAAAAATGACTTTTAAGACTATGTAATAGCTCCCATATAATTTCTTATTTATCTTAATTTCTGGATTGCAGAGGCCTCTTATATCTCTTAGTTAGACACAAAAGGTCTAATCACCACTCCTTGCCCAGGAGACCATGCTACAGAAACTACCAAGAAAGCTCTTCTGAGGTATGGCAGGTATTGTGATTGTTACACAAAAGTGTATTTTGCACTAGTAGTATAGTAATTTGCATGAGAATATTAAGAGTCATAACCCATACTTACTTCACCATCTTTGGCAAGCTTTCTACCACACCGCATACTATTTCCCTCTAGTTCTTCTTTATTGATTTCTTGAGGCCTAGAAATATACATAAGATGTGAAATCTCATAGAAAATAGGCAACTAATAGTTTAAAAAGAAGTTTAAAAGAAGAGAAAAATTGGCTAATGGATTTAAAAATATCTTTTTGTGGTTACAAAAAATACAAAAAGCACTGATTAATCTTGCCCATTGCCTTTGCTAAATTAAAAAAAATAATAACTTTAATGTTTTTCTTAGCTCTGACTTTTGGACTACTTTTATTAGGGCTTAGCCAAACCAGAGGAAAAAAATATCTACAAGAAATTGTGCTCATCAAAAAAATAAAACACTGAAAAGTCTAAGTAAAATAAGTTAAAATCTACTATTTAAGATGTGACTTGGTATCATCTACCACTGGACATTACTTCATGTCCAAGCTATCTTTTATTTAGTATAATCATGCAAAGTCAATATTTAATAGAAGCAGCTGTAGAATTGTATCAATTGATCTTTCTTGGTTCCCTACTTTAAAAGCCTTAATCAACTAAGAAAAATACTATTATTTCAAGTTATGATAACAAAAAGCCATGATTATTAGTTTGGAACCCCAAATGATAGAAATAATACAATATATTCATCATATACAACATTTATTAAATGCCTAGATACTAGGGACTTCAATCATCATCAAATTAAAATAGTGAAACAAATATACAAAAAATAAGTAAATGTAAACATGTCCTTGACATCCAAGAGTTCATTCTAGTAGAGATATAAGTAACAATTACAATTATGTGGAGAGAGTTGTGATGTTAGGGCAGGAAGAGGGCACAGATTTATGCCTGGGATTAGAGAGGGATCATCACAGAGGAGGTATTATTTGTGCCAAGTGGGAGTTTGTTGAAGTAGAGGTTAGGGGGGGATTCAATGCAGGACAACGACACTTCAGGAAGAAGGTCTAGTAGGTAAAAAGAATCTGGAGCATAAAAGAATCCCAAATATATGAAGAATTTCGTACATCAAGAGTTTAAGATGAGCACGAGAGGAGGCGAAGTGAAAGACATTTGGGATAGACTTGGACAAGCCCCCCAGGCTATGCTAATAAGAGTTTTAACTTTTGGGATCCCTGGGTGGCACAGCGGTTTGGCGCCTGCCTTTGGCCCAGGAAGCGATCCTGGAGACCCGGGATCGAATCCCACATCGGGCTCCCGGTGCATGGAGCCTGCTTCTCCCTTTGCCTGTGTCTCTGCCTCTCTCTCTCTGTGACTATCATAAATAAATAAAAAATAAAAAAATAAATAAAAAAAATAAACTTTGAGTTAATTTATAAAAAAAAAAAAAAAAAGAGTTTTAACTTTTCCTGTAGATCATAGAGAGTTCCCAGGCATTAGTTCTGTTACTTTGACATTTTTTATTATGAAAAATTTCAAACCTAAAAGTAGATAAAATAGTATAATGAGCTAAATTTTTTCACCATCTAGCTCAATAATTTTGTTTTAGTTTACTCCAAGCCTACTTCTCCCCATATCCCTTCTGGCTGATCATTTTGAGGCTAATCCTCCAGGCATATCCTTTAATCTGTAAATAGTTCAATATAAATTTCTTAAAGACAAGGAATTTTTTAAAATGTTAATATAATATATATCACATATAAATAACAATAGTCCCTATCATTAAATCCTTGGACATATTTAAGCAGGGAAGTGACACAATTATATTTCTGCTTCAGAAAGATTATCTGTTGGCAATGTGGAAGAACATGAAAGAAAACTGTGGAGGTAGATTTTATTAGATTATAACCTAGCACTCGGGAAATACACGGTCTTCTTCACTTTAGTAGCCCTGCAGCAGTAAGCAGATGCTCAGTGTCTATAAAACAGAGCACTTCATTGGGGTGCTATAATCATACATAAACTTCTAAGGGGAGGAAACCCACTTATTCCAGCTCAGTCTTTTGGGTCAGACTCTATGTTCAACTCAGTAAAGATACAGATGAGGAAAATCTTGAAAAATAAGAACACCTAACATCTAAAAACTGAATATACAAAAGAATGAGGATGACTTTGAAAATATTTCATATATTACAAAATGCTTTGAATCTGAATTCCATTAAATAATTAACTTTCTTTTTTTTGGTTTTTGTTATTTCTTTTTTTTTTTTTAAGATTTTATTTATTTATTCATGAGAAACACAGACAGGGAGGAGAGAGAGAGAGGCAGAGACACAGGCAGAGAGAGAAGCAGGCTCCATGCAGGGAGCCTGACATGAGACTCGATCCCGGGTCTCCAGGATCGCGCCCTGGGCTGAAGGCGGCATTAAACCGCTGAGCCACCCGGGTTGCCTGATTAGTTATTATTTCTATTTCAACAATCTTACTGTGTTTGTGTAGGATAAGTATGCTGTGAATATATTTGGAAAAAGATGGAATATAAATTATAAATAAAGTAGAAACCAAGAATCCTGGAAAATAAGCTCATAATCATTACCATGAGTTTGTATAACACTCTCAGATAGTCACTGCGTGGATAAAACATAACTAGGTCATATATTTTAGCAAGTTTTTTGGTACATAAAAATCCGTTAAATCGGGGCAAAAAAAAAAAGTCAAACTTAAGGCCTCTTCCATATATACTCACAGATGGACTGTCTCCTCACATGGCCTATAGCCAAGAAGCTGGTATAAAGATCAAATAATATATGTGGAAGTACTTCTGTGAACTGCAAAGCACACTGAAAGAATAGATATCTGCTTTTCCTTCAAATGAAAAAAGCACAAAAATATTGTGTGTGTGCGGGGGGGGGGGGTCATCTATAACTGGATTATGTTAATTCATTTTAGACTCAGAGATCTTTAAAATACTTCTTAGATAATGAATAAAAACTACAATATCACAATACTACCACAAATAAGATTAGCTTTACCTATAAAAAAGTATGAAAATCATTCTTTGTGAAACCATTACTCCAAGTAATATTTCAGTATATTGAAAGAAAATCCTAATATAACACCAGGTGAAACACAGTTTATGAATTATTCAGTTTTTACAAATAAGTAAATAACTATTCAAACATTTCACTAATTGACCAGAAAGATTAATATCGATGTTACATAAATGTAAGAATAAAACCTGATTAATGATCTTTTCCCTACTTTAACACCTCTTGATTTTTCAATATAATAAATGCATTTTAAAATTCATAGCAGGGTTTGTTTGTTTCTTTATTTTTTGTTTGTTTATTATGGACAATGAAATGACCTAACATACTTACCCCACCTCACTGTCTTGTTCTGCCCGGAGCATAGCAAGCCACTGCTGTTTATACACTGAAGACAGCCATTCTAAATATAAAAATAGATAAATGTTAATAACATGAAAAACATAAAACATTAAAAAATTTTAAGAACTAGGGGCAGCCCGGTGGCTCAGTGGTTTAGTGCCACCTTCAGCCCGGGGCGTGATCCTGGAGATCCGGGATCGAGTCCCACGTCGGGCTCCCTGCATGGAGCCTACATCTCCCTCTCCCTATGTCTCTGCCTCTGTGTCTCTCATGAATAAATAAATAAAATCTTAAAAAAAAAATTAAGAACTGGATAAAATTGTTACTTTTTTTTAAAAGATTTTATTTATTCATGAAAAACACAGAGAGAGGGGCAGAGGCAGGCAGAGGGAGAAGCAGGCTCCATGCAGAGAGCCTGATGTGGGTCTTGACTCTGAGCCAAAAGCAGACACTCAACCCTTGAGCCGCCCAGGCATCCCAAAATTGTTACATTTCTAAGCTTAAAATAGCAACAAATAGATCTGGCAGTTTAGATTTTACAAATGCTCTATAACAATATGGCTTAGGGCAGCCTGGGTGACTCAGCAGTTTAGTGCCACCTTCAGCCCAGGGCAAGATCCTGAGGTCCTGGGATGGAGTCCCACATCAGGCTCCCTGCATGGAGCCTGCTTCTCCCTCTGCCTGTGTCTCTGCCCCCCTCCCCCGTATCTCTCATGAATAAATAAATAAAATATTTAAAAAACAAAACAATATGGCTTAATGATTTTTAGTGTGGTAAATGCTATTTTGCTTTGCTTTAAGATGGACTGTACTTAGATTATATGCATTCACATTAGGATTTAAATCTTTTTTTTTTTAATTTTTATTTATTTATGATAGTCACAGAGAGAGAGAGAGAGAGAGAGAGAGAGAGACAGAGACACAGGCAGAGGGAGAAGCAGGCTCCATGCACCGGAAGCCCGACATGGGTTTCGATCCCGGGTCTCCAGGATCGTGCCCTGGGCCAAAGGCAGGCGCCAAACTACTGCGCCACCCAGGGATCCCTATGATTTAAATCTTTAAAGTAGATTCTTGCATTTAATAGTTTCCTTGTCATAGCTCATATTAATTTTTTGTGAGAAACATACGTAAAGTAGTATTTTGTTTTCATATAATTTTTATAGAAAACTGAATGTATATTAATTTATTAAATTATCTAAAAATAACAATTAATGGGAGATAAATTATCAGATGAACAGGGAACAGATTTTGTTTTTTTAAGTTAAATGATTTTTCAATCTCTATTAGAAGAATGGAAACCCTACTGTGATTAAAATCCACATTTCACTTCATAAGTCTTTTATTTTTTTATTTTTATTTTTTTCTTTTTCATAAGTCTTTTAAAATAAAGGTATCCAGATGACTTCCACTGTTTATTGGTATATTCCCTTAAAACTCTCTATAAATACACTTTGAATGTTTCATTCTGTCAAAATATTCTTGTTATTATGCAGAATAACTACTAAATATCTAGGCCACATATAATGTTTTCAGTAGGTAAAGACTAGTAAAGTTTATGTGAGTCAGTATAAATGCATACATATTGTGTATTTTATTTGCAATGCATTATGATTTTTAAATTCTGTTCTAATGTATTTTTATAAGAAAAAAAGAGCTGATCTTTTCTCATTAAAATAGATTTCTTAATTCACTGATAGTTATGCCTCTAAGATGAAATGCATTGATCTAGGGATGCAGAATATGGTTTTCATGATTCATTTATAAAACTGGAATGAAAAGGTTACACATAAATATTCTCAAATATCATGTAAGATACAGCACGTGAAAAGGTTTTAAAATTCAATTTTAAAATTTAAAGTTCTGGGCAGCCCGGGTGGCTCAGCGGTTTCGTGCTGCCTTCAGCCTAGGACCTGATCCTGGAGTCCCAGAATCAGGTCCCATGTCGGGCTCCCTGCATGGAGCCTGCTTCTCCCTCTGCCTGTGTCTCTGCCTCTCTCTCTCTCATGAATAAATAAAATCTTTAAGAAATAAATAAATAAATAAAGGGATCCCTGGGTGGTGCAGCGGTTTGGCGCCTGCCTTTGGCCCAGGGCACGATCCTGGAGACCAGGGATCGAATCCCACGTCGGGCTCCCAGTGCATGGAGCCTGCTTCTCCCTCTGCCTATGTCTCTGCCTCTCTCTCTCTCTCTCTGTGTGTGACTATCATAAATAAATAAAAAATAAAATAAAATTAAATTAAAAGTAAATAAATAAATAAATAAAATTTAAATTTCTCACAACCCTGTGGAGCCTGGGTGGCTGAGTCAGTTAAGTTTCCAACTCTTTTTTTTTTTTTAAAGATTTATTTTGTTTATTTGAGAGAGAGAGAAAGAGGATCTTAATGCTAGGCATGGAGCCAACATGGGCCTAATCCTAGGACCCCAAAATCATGACCTGAGCAGAAATGAAGAGTCATGCTCAACTGGGTGAGCCACCCAGGTGCCCCAAGCCTCCGAGTTAATTTCAGCTCAGGTCATCCTGATCTCAGGGCCGTGAAAATTGAGCCTACATAAGATTCTCTCTCTCTCCTTTGGAGCCTCCTCGCCCCTGCTCTCTTTCTCTCCAAAAAAATAAAATTTTCACAACCTTTCAATAATCTCCTTTAAAACCAAAACACCAAAGAAAAAAAAATTCGAAACCAAACACCCCAAAAAACCAAAAACCACTTCAACAAATTAAAAACATGGGTACATAGTTTTGTCTCTCCTTTCTTGTCTTACTTTAAACAAGTAAATAGTCAAACTAGAAATCTTTCTAGTCACTGGTAGTTTACCCTGTAGCCCAAAAATAAGTCCATAGAACAGTAAGTTCAAATGCAATGTTGAAAAAAAAAAAAAAAAGAATCACTGCTAAAATGAGTTTGAGAAACATGGGATGAAAATAAGTAAGACAGGTTCATCTTTATATCGTTTTTAATACAATTATATGCAGTCCTATCTCCAAAAGGTAGATATACTACAGAGTTTGCCAGAATCCTTTTTAGCAGAGTTAGTATTCAATGCAAAGATTCCTTTAAGAAACTTCCATCCAGGAAAATAATCTTAAACACTTATTTTAAATGTTGTTAGAACAAAGCCCCATACAAAAGCTCAAAATGGGTGTTAACAAGGTGCCATCTGACCGTGCCTTGGACTCAGCTACAGATCTAGCATATAGTAATTCTGAATGTAAACAGAGTATTTTTCCAATAGAATAAATAAGTCAGATAAATTTAGATTACTTCTCTTGTCTTACACAAAGGATACGGTACAAAGGGTCTCCAAAAGCATAATATTTGAAAATCTAATGTCTTAGCTTTACAAATTTTAAAAAACAAAAAGATAAAGGATGCCTGGGTGGTTTGGTTAAAGTGTCTGTTGACTTCAGCTTGGTCTCCAGGTGGGTTCACACTGGGTGTGGAACCTACTTAGGATTCTCTTTCCCTCTCTTTGCCCCTCTCCCCTCTTTAGACAAACAAAATAAAAAAGATATGTTCCTAATTTACTCAGTATTTTATTACTTAAGTGAAAGAAAAGGTGTATTTTTCAGGTATACACACAAAAAAATTTACTTATAATCAGTAACGTTTATAGCAAAAAACAGCCTACAAGTTGAACTGCTATACAAAACACTTAAGTCAGATGTAGATCGTGAAGGTAAAAGACCAAAAGTTTACATAATAAAAAAATTCCCATATGGACAAATAAGAGTATTTTGAATAGAGCATCTAGGTATGAAGTATCAGTAACACTATGGAAAAGTCTGACTTTTAAGTAACCAGTAAGATAAGAGTGAAAACAATATGATTACAGAACAAGAAAGACATGGGGCTGCATTTGAGCTGTGCTTCTCACTAGCTGTATGGCAGGACAGTTATACTTTACTTCGTCTGTAAAATGGGGACAACTACCTTGATGAATTTCAAAGTTATGTTACAAAATAGACATTAAATGCAGTATCTGGCATACACAGAATACTTTGAGGAATCTACACATATTTGCTTACTTTTCCCCATCCTCTCCCTTTACAGTTCTTAGGTTAGCAGCTAGAAATGAAATTTGAGGGAGTAAATGCACGATTAGGCCATATGTAAATTAGTATGTTTTAGAAAACAATTTTAGTTTTCACAGAGTGCCTACTACTTGTCAATCAGTGCCCTATGTACTAGAAGGAAAAGGTTGTAAAACCTATGGGCCTCACAGTTCAACAAGGACACAGATACATTCTGCACTTAGGTCACCTAGCAAACGATGACAACGTCTTAATCAAGGGAATGCCTTGGGTAAAGGAAGGTGGTGATTTTCAGAACTATCTATGAAAATATCTACAGGGCTTGGTGAATGGATGTGGAGGAAAGAGTTTTAGGAGGAGTGTAGGATGACTTCCCGGAGTTTGTCTTTTTCGTAAGGCTGGGCTATTTATTAATGGTGTTAATGATTAATAGGAACACAGGAAGAAAAAAAGCAGGCAGGGATTGGGGCTGAAGAGGAAATTTAAGTACTGTTTTGAACAGATGGCCAGAAGCAATTTATAGACGGCAAGACAGCAGTTGAATATCGAAGTATGAAATTCAGGGGAGAGGTCAGAACTGGAATCTTTTAATAAATCATATGAACAAAGAATATTACTCTGGGAGAATGAAAAATCAATGGGTCAAAAGTATTCTCAGGAAGTTAAGAAGTAGGTAGAGCAAAAGACACTTACAAAAGAAAAAGAGAAGGATTGGTCAGAGAAATAGGAAAAGACTCAGGAAAGAATAGCATTTCTAAACCATGGGAGTAGAGTAGGGAATTTCAAGAAAAAAACAAGCAAACCATAACATAAAATGCTAGGTAGGCTAAATGAGGCCACTAGACTTTGCAAACAGAACAACCCTAACTTTTGCTAGAACGTCTGAGTGAAACAGTGAGGGCAAGGGACAGACTTCAGAGTGCTGAGAAATCACTAAAAGGAAGGAGAGAGCATCTGCAGACTGCTCTGAAGAAGGGGGCTTAGAAGGTTGCTTTGTGGGGGAGGGAGCAGTGTCAAGGGAAGCTTTCTGGTCTTGTTTTGTAATAAGAGATTTGACCATATTTTAAAGGCTAAGGTAGAGTAGGGAGGACAAAGCTGAAGACACAATTTAAATGATAAGGTTTAATTTCAGAACAAACAGGAAGTGATAAGATCATGACATGAACAGAGCAGGAGGTTGGCTTGACAGGGAGGGAGCACCTCAACTGCAGGACAGGAAGACAGGTGAGGAAGAATAGGAATTGAACAAGTTATTACCCGATTACCCCAAATTTATATTAAAAAAAAAAAAACAACAAACAGAATTCCTATACTGACTGGGAGGTGACTGGATAGGAAGATTGAACAGAATGGCAGAGGTCTAATACAATTAATGAAGTAAATGAAAAAGAGAGTGGCCAAAGTGACCAAATAAATGCAGCGTAAGAAGTTCCAAAGTGCAAGCTTAGTGTTGAAATGTGAATTTGCAGTGCACCAGTACAAAATTGGTAAAAAACCTCTGTAGCAGTACTCCTCTGAGAACTGCTACAGACCCTTCTCCCAGGGACTGAATACTCAGTGGAACCCAGAGCTCAAATGCTACAGAAACAAAATTTAATTTAGTTTTAGGATTTTGCCAAGTGGAAGGACACAGAGGTGAAGGCAACTGTTGAGAGAGAGTAGTTCAGATGATCAATCATGAAATCCAGGCCCTAAAAAGGAAGGAGAGGTTTGAAAGCCTGGTAGAAAATGGAGGGCTTAAAATGGACTGGAAATCAAGTAACAGTATAAAAGGAAATGAAGCTATGAACACGCTATACGGTTGGTTATACGTGGCCTGAAAACTACTTGATTTCCGATGCTGAGCAATTCTGGGTTACAAGGTTCACGGTTATTTCTGTGGATGGTGAGTGCCCAATGATCACAAAACATGTTACTGTGGTGGAGGTCCAATTAGTCGGAGGCCAGGGAACAGAATAGAATGATCATTTTTTTTTTTTAATTTTTATTTATTTATGATAGTCACAGAGAGAGAGAGAGGCAGAGACACAGGCAGAGGGAGAAGCAGGCTCCATGCACCGGGAGCCCGATGTGGGATTCGATCCGGGGTCTCCAGGATCGCGCCCTGGGCCAAAGGCAGGCGCCAAACCGCTGCGCCACCCAGGGATCCCAGAATGATCATTTAAGTACATTATGTGACTGGGCAGACGTGGAAAGGTAAATCCAGTGTGTTCAGTGAATGCGGAAGAATGACAGGGTCAAGAGAGAAAGGATAGAGGGTGAGTTAATAGTTTTGGAAAGGGCACTGAGGGACTAGGACCATGAATGTCTGGCCTCCTATTCCTATATTTTCAGGGTGTTTTAACTGACAGAAAGTCCTCTAGAGAGAGAAAATAGTGCCTTCTGGGAGAGTTAAATAAATGGAGAGAAGCGATAGAAGACATGAGAGTTTGTTGACCTGGGTCCCAGAGTACATAATGTAAAGGTCTGGGAGGAATGGTAACAAGATAGATCAGATGTACCAAGGAGGGCTAAGGCAGGACAGTAAAAGTATACAGTAAGACAGTTGTTTTTTTTTAAGATTTTATTTATTTATTCATGAGAATACGCAGAGAGGAGAGAGAGAGAGGCAGAGACACAGGCAGAGGGAGAAGCAGGCTTCATGCAGGGAGCCTGCTTCTCTCTCTCTCTCTGCCTCTCTCTCTGTATCTCTCATTCATAAATAAAATCTTTAAAAAAAATAAAAATAAAAAATAAATAAAGTGGAACATTCTAAAGTAAAAAAAAAGCCCTCTACTGTGATTTTAGGTCTGGAAAAAATGGCTGAAATCTGGTCAGAAATGTGGAATCTAAATTATTTTCAACTTTATACTGAATAAAACATGTCAGACTAAAATACTTTCACCCACCTTATATTCAAAGAATATAAAGCTTACGCACGTGCATCATAGATACACCTACACTGAATTACTTCAGAACAGACTTCTTTCCACTTCTTTCAAAATTCATCTCTAACAAGCCTTGAAAGGAAGTACAGTTAAGAGTGTAATTGGCCCTAGCATCTAGTATTACACCTCTCTAGGGCCTGGCATAGAACACACATGAGAACTATTAGAGATCTGCTATATTACAGGGAACATAATCTTCATAGAAACTGTCACTGGAAAAAAAAATAGCACAACCATGCAAATGTAATATGCAGCCTTTTATCTTGGCTTTCTAAAATTACTACTATAAAAATAATTTATACAAAATTAACAGAAAAAGTGTCTATAAACCTGCTAGAGTAATTTTATAAAAATGTGTTACTTTCAAATAGACCAGAAGTGTTAAATGTAGGTTTGCTTTCCATTTAATACCTAACTATAGATTTTGAGAACAATTTAAATCCATAAACATACAGCTATATTAAAAATTGAGCTATCAAAAACAATTGTAACTTTTTAGACAAATCTATAACTAATTATTAATGTTCACAAATTTAGAAATAAATCTTCAAACTCTATTTCCTATTTTTTATATGCATATATAGTACACTAAGCTAAATCTCACATAAGCACTAGAGACTTAGAAAATCAAATCTGTAATTGTTTAACAAACTTAAATTATTATAATTAGCAAAGATATTACATTTGCTTTGACATAAGATTTAAGACTAGAATAAGAAAAAAAGCAAATTTAAGGAGTATTAATAATAAAAGCAGTAATGATCTTTAAATGATACTTTAGGGATGCCTGGGTGGCTCAGCGGTTGCTGCCACCTGCCTTTGGCTCGAGTCATGATCCCAGGATCCGGGATCGAGTCCCACCATCGGGCTCCCTGCGAGGAGCCTGCTTCTCCCTCTGCCTGTGTCTCTGCCTCTCTCTATGTCTCTCATGAATAAACAAATAAATACATCTTAAAAACAAACAAACTTCATTTACAGTATACTTCAAAACTCATTTTTAAAAGTCTGGTCTAAAATAGTGCATTAGTTAAAGAACATCCATATTAATAAAAATTTTAGTATATATTATATACTTTTGTTTTTGTTGTAATGTGTATATATTAATAAAGAGGACTAGAAGAAATTCACCAAGATATTAACCCTAGATAATAGGATTCGTTTCTTTTTCCTCATACTTAAAAAAACAACACAGGGATCCCTGGGTGGCGCAGCGGTTTGGCGCCTGCCTTTGGCCCAGGGCGCGATCCTGGAGACCCAGGATCGAATCCCACGTCGGGCCCCTGGTGCATGGAGCCTGCTTCTCCCTCTGCCTGTGTCTCTGCCTCTCTCTCTCATTCTGTGTGACTATCATAAATAATAAAATAAAAAAAAAAAAAAGAAAACCTTTTTTAAAAAAAAATAAATAAATAAAAAAAATAAAAATAAAAAAACAACACAAAACAAAACTGTAACAGAAAATGAGAGTCCTTTAAATAGTCTGGATTGTGCTAAGTGATATGGGAAAATACTATAAAATGTGGACACAGAAAATTACCTATATAATATGATTTCACTTTGGTACAAAAGTGTGTCTCTTAATGGGATTAAGGTTAATTTCTATTCTCTTTATTATTCTTTTTTACAACATAATCAGAAAGATATTACTTAAAATCATAATTTTGTCATGTTCTCTTACCTGAAGGTACTAAAGAATCTTGTTCAATAATTCTTGCAGAGGCCAAATCACTGATAATATACTGTAACCTTAAATGTCTGAATACTGACACAAATGGTTTTCCTTGTTCGGTTTCAAGGAAGGTCATACCTTCAAAATCTATAAAAAACAGTTTAAATCAATAGGCATTCTTTTCAAATGTATCTAATTTTATTCCTAAATGTTTTTATAGGCAGGAAGACACACACACACACAGACACATGTATATCTATCAGAATACAAATAAGCTACTTTACAAAGATTATACACACCTGTGGTGTATGGATAAAAACCTGGGAAAGATTTAGGAAGAAGCCCCAGGAAACTAATTTTGGTCCCAAGTGGCCTTTGGGCTGAGAATTCACTTGTGTACCTTGTTTCTAGAGTTTGGAGCTTCCAGTGCAGCAAGGTTTGGAAAAAGAAGGCTCGAGAACGGTAGTTAAGGTTACGACGGTCTCTCACCAGAAACCTTCTCCCAGAGACTGAACACTCTAGTGGAACCCAGAGCTCGAATGCCAAACACAGGACACGCATGGGTTTGTCTTTTGGGATTCATCTAATTTATGCTTTAGCTACATGTGATGAACGCTACTAGTTAATATGTTAATTCTCTATCATAGTACCAAATAAGATACAAAGACACTATAGCCATAAGGATAGTATTTATTATTAAAACAATTCAAGTTTATGAAGTATGTGAATTTTTTCTTTTAGGGAGAATTTCAGGTTATTTCTAAAAATAGTTGCTCTCAGTTGTATTCAAATGTGTTTTCATGAGTGTGAAGGAAAGGTCTAGTTCCTGCTATCATATAGAAACTTGTGCAAAAGCCCTAGCCTATTTTCTATTAAAAAGGGATACCCATGTGAGCATATTCTGTGCTCCTATTAAGGATGGAGAAAAAAGTTGAGTTGCTACTGTTATCTATTATGGCTAAAACTATGTTTCATATGGAACACAGTACTGTGAACAAGAAAGTAGATGATGTCCACTAAAATAATTTTTTCCTGAAATCAGCAAAAAGACAGTCTATTTAATGAAAAGTATTTTCATAATTTTCTAATTTTTACACCATACATTTTTTGTATTCCTTTGGTGTCTGCTCAGAGTCAAAGTAAACAAAAAAGCAGTAAATTCATTTTAAAAATTAAGTAACTTTGCTTACTTATGTGGAGTTAACGTCCTTTTTTTAAGGATAACATTAGTTCTAGTGTTCATATGTTGAATCAAATGTGGCAATTCATGGGCTGTACTATGAATACCATTATGGTCTTACAGATGCCCCATCACATGAACAAGTTATAAAAATCTAATACCTGGAGCGGGCACCTGGGTGGCTCATTCTGTTGAGTGTCTGACTCATGATTTAGGCTTGGATCATGATCTCAGGGTCGTGAGATTAGGCCCAAGTCAGGCTCTATGCTCAGCAGACAATCTGCTTGAGATTCTGTCTCCCTCTCTCTTTAGCCCTCCTTCCCAGCTCATGCACATGCGCACTCTCTCTTAAATAAATAAATCTTAAAAAAAAAACATCTAATACTAGATCATCTAGAAATCTGGAAATTATCTCATGAAGCCCTTTTTTCAAGAGTATAGAAAGGATTAGCCCATTTACTTTTGTAAGAATTCATGAATTAGAAATATATTTTAAAGATTGTAGCTGGCCAAGTATAGCCATATTAATTGCACTAACCAAGTTCAATGGCAGTCCCTATGAATAACTGTGTAGAACAAAGTCTAAATTTCCACTGTTTCTTGTAGTCCTGAGCAATGTATATGAAAAGTCAAATAATTAATAAAACCTAAAAGAAATGTCTCAAAATATAATGGGACAGGGGACTACAAGTGGTTTTTCTGTCCTATTTCCTGAGTCCTCACCACTTTGATAATTTCTTAAAAAGATTTATTTATTTAAAAAAATATATTTATGGGATCCCTGGGTGGCACAGTGGTTAGGCGCCTGCCTTTGGCCCAGGGTGCGATCCTGGAGACCCGGGATCGAGTCCCACGTGGGGCTCCCGGTGCATGGAGCCTGCTTCTCCCTCTGCCTGTGTCTCTGCCTCTCTCTCTCTATCATAAATAAATAAAATATATATATATATATATATTATTTATTTATTTGAGAGAGACTGAGAGAGAAAGAGAGTTGGGGGGGAAGGGCAGTGGGAGAGAGAGAGAGAATCTCAAGCAGACTACCTGCTAAGCTCAGAGCCTGATGTGGGGCTTGATCCCATGACCCTGAGACATGACCTGAGCCAAAATCAAGAGTCAGACCCTCAACCAACGGAGCCACCCAGGCGCCCCTCTCTTTGATCATTTAAAAACCATATGACATGGGACGCCTGGGTAGCTGAGTGGTTGAGCATCTGCCTTTGGCTCAGGGCGTAATTCCAAGGTCCTGGGATTGAGTGCCGCAACAGGCCCCCTGCAGGGAACCTGCTTCTCCCTCTGCCTGTGTCTCTGGCTCTCTCGCTCTCTCTCTCTCTCTCTCTCTGGCTCTCAAGAATATTTAAAAAAAAAATAAAAATAAAACTGTATGACATGACCTTCAAAGTCCTCACTGAAACACAAGGCATCAGACTTACATTTTGTTTTATGCAATAAGTGTCTCCCTGAAAAGTTATCTAAAACTGTATACTTCTACACGACTGAGGCCGGAATGAAGAGCGTAGAGGAGAAATCTTAATGGGACTGCTGGAGTTCAAATGAGCATAAGTTTCTGTTGGGATTCACCTAACAGCTCCCCAGTTTCCAGAGTGCCTTTGTCTTTTTAGGTTCTCCACACCTCCTTAATCTCTTTCAGTTGTTCTCTCTCTCCATTTAGTTTTTTGCTTAAATTTTCTCCTCTATAACTTCTCTAATGCCTCTTTAATTGCCATAATGTAGCTCTAAAGTATAATTTAAAATATAAGTTTAGAATTTTGTTCTTCAAGGCAATCAAGTTAGGTTTTTTTGGTATGGTCCTTTATATTTTTGGTTCATGAGCTTGACAGGAAAATAACTTATCTGGCTCTGAGTTAGGAAATCTCTCTGTATAAAATAACTTCACAAAATTTATTTAAATAAGACATAAAGAGCACTAGATTTTAAATTAAGAACTTCTACTCATCAAAAGATATCCGTAAGAAAGCAAGAAGGCAATCTACAAACTAGAAGATAAATGACAAAGGATTGGTTACCAGGAATAAAGAATGCCTATTGTGTTATTAAGAAAACACAAATAGGATATTAAAATAGGAAAAAGAATGGATATTTCACAGAAGAGGAAACATATGGCTAATAAACATGTAAAGAACTGTTCAATCTCTTCAAGGAAACGACAAATTAAGACCACAATATGAAACTGTCCAATAACAACTAAAATCAGATGCTATATTGTCCAGTGGTGCTAGAGATGGCCTGCACTGGCTTATAAGAGCTGATGGTGTGTATTTCTTAACTCTGCATTCAATGTCAGTGATATCATGTTGGTAGCTTGGAATCAGCCACATTGGGAGAATCTGTATCATGGAAATTTAAAAAACTGCAAATCAGGGATTATTTTTTCAGAGACCACCTTACTAGTACACCACTATGTTACATATATTAAGACATACATGCATAATACAATAACATTTTCTTAAGGGAATAATAAACACAAAATTCAAGATAGTGGTTGGGAAAGTCAGAGGCAACAACAGGAGAGAAGCACAAGTAACTGAAGTTACTAATGTTCTAGTACTTGAAGATTAGTTTGTGGGGGTTCAGTATATTATTAAAAATAAAAAACGTGGCCATCCATGGACCAAAAATGACCGTGAACTAAGAAGGATTATGATTTATCCACTTTTTTGGACCTAAAAATTTTTTCTCTATTATCTGTTCTAGCAAAGTAAAAAATAAATACACTGCATGTTCCCTCTGTCCCAATAAGAAAGAATTTAATGGCAGCTGATCTTAATGAATTTTAGAACGATTTTCTCTAAGAATCCAACAAAACTTATGAGAACTTATGGAAGTTCTCACCCTGCAAAATGCATGCAACACACACATACCTGTAAAGTTGTGCATGTTCTTTTGGGGTTAGTGATACACTGAGGCCTGTAGATGGGCCCCCCAAGCCCGAGTTAAGAACTGTTGCCTGATAGGGCTAATGTGTTAGGGAAAATTCAATGTAGTCAAATAAAAGATGAATGTAATCATCAAGACCTGTTGGTGATAAAATGGGAAAAATAATAGTTTGGGGGAATCAAACTATGGTATTGTATTAGTTCAAGGGAAAATAATTCAGTTAATACTTGGCAAGGCATTTTTCTTATTTTTACTTTTCTCAATTTATATTAGGGGCTGATATAGATAACTGCTTACTGTCCTCACCAGATCTAAAATTTTCTAGGTCTACAAATAAGTTAGAACCCGATTTTAATAAATTTCAATTAAAAAGGCCCAAAAAACAAATTCTCAAAATTTTCAGGCATACCTTTTCTCCTCTTAGAAAACCAGACATCTGTTTCAGTCAAAAGCTGTTTTAAAGATCCATTCCATGAAGGCACAAGTTGAAGGAACATCCACTTAAATTTAAGAAAAAAATTACAAGACTTCATGTTACATGTTACAATTTTACATTCAAACTGCTTCCACCTTAAAACATAGTATCTAAAAAATTTAATTTCCAGTACATGCAGTTGAAAGAAGTAGAACTCTTATGTGATATGCTTACAAGCTTTAAATTCATCATGGCTTTGGACTACCTGGGTGGTTCAATTGGTTAAGCATCTGATTCTTGACTTCAGCTCAAGTCATGATGTCAGGGTTGTGAGATCAAGCCTTGCACTGGGCTCCTCGTTGGATGTGGAGCCTGCTTAAGAATCTCTCTCCCTCTCCCTCTTCCTTTGCCCCTCTGCCCCTCTCTCCCTCATTCTCCCTCTCTAGGAGAAAAAAAAAATCATGGCTTTAATTGTGGTCCAAAGATAAAAACTAAAACAGTGTGTGATAAAGAATAATCGAATTCCTAAAAAATATGGCCTCAAACACAGTATAGTTACACAATTAAAATGGTAAAGGTTGGGCAGCCCAGGTGGCTCAGCGGTTTAGAGCCTGCCTTCGGCCCAGGACCTGATCCTGGAGTCCCAGGATGGAGTCCCACATCAGGCTCCCTGCACAGAGCCTGCTCCTCCTTCTGCCTGTGTCTCTGCCTCTCTCTCTCTCTCAAGAATAAATAAAATCTTAAAAAAAAAAAAAAAGGATAAAGGTTTATATATATATATATATATATATATATATATATATATTACATTAGTCATCTTACACTAATTTATTCTGTTCAACTCAATTTTGCAAAATATTGTGTAAGGTTATAAAAACAATCTTTATTTAATAATAATTTAGTAGATTATTTAATAATCGTCTATTAAACAAGGGAAAAAGGAGATTCTTACTGTTTTATCCTGGCCCTGCCAATTAATAGCTGGACAAATTACCTAATATCTCTGGGCCTTAATTTTTTCATTTATAAAATGAGCATGATACCTCATGGGACACTGAGAATTTTTTTTTTTTTAAGATTTTATTTATTCATGAGAGACAGAAAAAGAGAGAGGCAGAGACATTGGCAGAGGGAGAAGCAGGCTCCATGCAGGGAGCCCCATGTGGGACTCTATCCCGGGACCCCAGGATCACGGCTTGAGCCAAAGGCAGACGCTCAATCGCTGAGCCACCCAGGCTCCCCATACATTGAAAGAATTATTAGGTGTAACTTACTTTGAATAGTGCCTGGCACATAGTAAGCACTTATCATTACTGGCATAAAAGCAATCACAACAATAGGAAACAAAGAATGCTACCAGTGGCTCAGAGATAGAAATGGGCTGTCCACCCTTCAATGACTGCATAACTAAGTTACTAAACTTCCTTGAAAAAAAAACAAACAGTAATAGAATCTCATCCCTACCACAAAACAATTGCAATAATATAATTTAAGATGTCTCATTCCCTAATTTCAAAGCTATGTTAAACGGAGATTGTATTGCTAGGGCCAAAAGGCTAGCGGCAAAATTATTCAGTGGGAAACGCAATGGACTAGGACTCACAAACCTGGGTTCTACCTCAAATCTGTCACTTAGTAACTAGAAGAGTTCTAAGTCCTACCATCTACAGAACAAGAATGATAGCTGATTTGTCTCTTCAGAGTTATAAAAATAAAAATGTTAAAACCTTTCAAAGGGATGAAATTAAACATGTGCCTGAAGTACAAATAAGGTCTTTAAAAAATTTCACCATTTTCTAGAAAAAGTGAAATTTTCATCATGAAGTCATTACTTCAACTTTCAAAACATTTCTAAAAACCATATAAATTAACACTTCTGATTATGTAAATAATACATCCTCAAGGTTGAAAAAAATCTGGGAAAAAAACAGAAACATATTCCTAGGATAGAAAAGTGTATGTGAAACCAAACAAAAGAAACAGGATGGGAGCTCTCATGGCCCAGCACTTGTCATCAATGCAGACCCAACAGTAAGACAGGTGCCTCACATTTCCAATAGGAAGAAGCCTACTTTACTACTCTAGTAGGAAAAAGGAAGAATTTCTCCTTGTCCAGCAACAAGCTCAGCCAATAAGAAGACACCACAACTCAGACAACAAGGAACTCACTTTCCTCCAACAGACTTTCATTCAAAGCAGCCCCTCCCAAATTCTATCTTTTCTCTATAATGTTCCTTTCCTTTGAGGTCTGGAGTTGCCTATGGTTTGTCATAGCATACATGTCACAAATTGCAATTCCTCTACTATTCCCAAATAAATCCATTTTGCTGGTAAAATAACTGGCTATTATACTTTTAAGGTTGACAAGTATAAAGAATGAAATTAAAATCACTCATGACAGCAAATCCCTAAACAAAGAATTTTTTTAACATTATGGCATATTTCCTCTTACATTTACACCATTCCTTTTTCCCTGGACACTAGCTGTTTCTAATTTTTCACTATTATAAGTAATGCTGAGGTGATGCCCTTACATATTATGTCAATACCTTTTTAAGAGCTGTGTATACATCCATCTCCACTTGCATCACAAATAAGTTAGATGAGCCAATGAGCTGTTTCATGACATTTATACTAGAAAAGATAAAGCAGAGGTACTGAGTTTATTCTTGTGCAGACTAAAATACTCTGGTGGAATTAAAAAATTTTAATTCTTTCTTATGAAAAGAAAATGTGGAATTAAAAATTGTATCAGTCTTTTTGCCCAAGACGGAAGAATCTTAGACAGAAACAACCTACCTGAACACAACGATACTTTTAATTCAGACAGTATACTATGAAAGGTCTTTCTTTGAACAGGAAAACAAAGAGCTTTGATCTGCTAATTAACCCAGTTAAAACACGGTTCTCTGTGAGATAACTTTTAGTATGCTCTGATAAAGTGGCAGTGTTCTTATAGGTCTTTCCTGCCCATTCATTGTATTTTTTTTTTTTAAGACATGTCAAAATTTCACTGAAATGTCTATTATCTTCAAAGTAACCTTTAACATCAAAGCCTGAGAAAACTGCTTGGTCATAAAACATATTATTACTATTAATGAGTAAGATCAAGAAATATGTATTAGTGGAAAGGATATCACCAGCTGTTTTTTCCCCCTTCCTTTAAGCCATAAAAAGCCAGAAGAACATCTAGGTTTTTAAGATGACCACTACAATTTCTTTTTGAAAGAGCTCAATGAGAAATTATAAACAAGAAAAAAAAAAAGTGTTTCTAATGATATTCAAACCAAACATAATGCAGAGCTTTGTTTATACCCTGATATCACTAGATAATACTTCTCAAACTTTTCTACCAAAGTACCTCTTAAGGGCAGAGAAAGGAAAGGACCCAGGAATACAAGAGATGGTCTAGCAATAAAAATAACACGTTTACTACTTCTTGTATTTCATCTTTAAAGTTCAAAGAAACTTGAATTCTCTCTATTCCATATTGTATTTAAACATAAGAATGTTCTGTCTTTTTCCCACTTGCCCACCCACCCCTGCAAAAAAAAAAAAAAAAATCAGTAAAATTGACATCACAGGGGATGTTTTGAGGGCAGAAACCATGAATTAATAATCTCTGAATCCTTCACAGCCCCTAACAGAGTACCTTCATATATAGTGGACATTCAGGAAGTATTTGTTGAAGGAAGGAAGGCAGGAAGGAATAATAAGCAGATGCTATTCAAAAGGCCAACCTGACTGTGAATTTAACTTCATTAGACCTAGTATAAAGTTTAAAACAATTTTCTTAAACCTAATTTTGCAGGGGTGCCTGGCTGGCTCAGTTGGTGAAGCATGTGACTCTTGATCTTAGGGTTGTGAGTTCAAACTCCATGTTGGGTGTGATTACTTAAAATAAAAATTTTTAAAACTTAATTTTGCAATGGTAAAGATGGTTTTTAAAACTTTTAGATTCTCTAAGAACCTAGCAAAAGTGAGGTAACACTTGATACTTTTCTATAGTTTTATATTAGCAATAAATTTTTATATTAAAGTTGGTTAAAATAGTAGACATACATATTATTTAAGACAAAGAAATTTGTGAAGCATTTCTTCAGTTCATAGATGTCAAGATACCTTTCATTAAATTGTTCACTTTTTCATAAGTAATATGTTTTTGCATAAAGGAAATGCATACCTTAACAAATAAACATTATTTAGAATGGTTAATTACAAAGTTATTTAAAATCAAAATACCTGAGTTCCTTAAAAAGTTCAACATTCTGGTGAGTCATCAAATTGTTCAGAAGCCATTCAAGGCACCTGAAATTAAAACATGGAATTATTTATTACATGATATGTAAATATATCATGTATTTATAACTTACTTAGAACTTATAGTTAAAATAAAAACAATTAGTCTTGCTAGAACATGCTCAAATTTTTAAATTAAACAACCAAAAATTTAGTATTGTTTTTGTCAGCTGTTATTAAGGAAATATTCTCTTTATATTAATAAGTGCATATCTAATTAAGAAAATCTCATTTCAAGTTTGAGTTACATCATTTATGAAAGCACTTGCATACTTCTATTACCTTCTTTGTAATTTGAAAATGGGTACTGAAATTCTCAGGAGTTAAAAACATTGCCAGTAGATGTATTGATACAATGTCTATTATGCCTACTACTTAAAAAATATTAATAAAAAAGACACTGTAAAGAGTGACCAGAGTTTTCATAAGCCACATATAAACATGTATAACCGACCCATGGTCACTTACATAGACAACACTTTCAAGAAATTTACTAATTTATCCAAATGTTAAACAGGACTTTTTTAAACAAAATTCTAGTCCTGTATCTTTTTTTTCTTTCTTTCTTTCTTATAGCTATACATTCTCTTAAGAAACCAAAGCAGCCAAATTCCCACAAGTGGGATGGGAGGAAAAATAAAAAAGGTAACTCACTTTTTCTTTACAGAATCTAATCCATAGGTCCCTGCTGATGTGTAATAGCCACATACAGTTTTCACATTAATTGTTTCCTTCATTGTCTCACCACACTGCTGTATTAAACCATCCTGCAAATATAAATAAGCACTGGAAAGGCCCATTTCACATGGGAAAAATTAGCTCTGAATATGTGCTTTTACATATTAAAAAGTAAAAAAAAAAAAAAAAAAAAAAAGAAGAAGAAGAAATGAAAGAAAACTCATCAAGTGTAACAAGCCTAAATCTGAAGTCCAGTAAAAATACTGAAAAAAATCCAGCAAGTATTCAACTAAATACTTGGAATTAAAAAGCAGAATGGAGGGGGTAAAAGCAGTAAGGTAGTAAAGTAACAGATGAACACTGCTATTCTTTCTTTTGTATTCTTCCCCTCTCCGGGACCGGCAAATTTAAGCACCATTCGGCCTGGTTCGCCTATTCTCTTTCAATTAAGATCTCTTAACATACTCAGTCAACCATGTGATGGAGCTAGGCAAGTGAACAGTATGAATCATCAGAAGTGTTTATTAAACTACAAAACACTTATCAATTTCTAAGAGATGCACCTAAAACAAATATATTATTTACATTGAAATATTAATCTGAAATGTTTTAGATGTAAGATTTCAAATGAATTTTATTCAATATATGAAAAAATGTTACTTTTTACCTAAATTTCTGAAATACATTCACCATGCAAGTATATTATTAAATTAGTTAGGAAGTCATAAAGATAATGCAGAAAATGGATTTAGGACAAAACCAAAAGGACTAAAGTTAGAAAATAAAGTGTACTTGTTGAAAATTAAGTATTGAAAGGATCACAGCATTTAAAAAATCAAATGATTTCAACTAAGTATATTGAGCAAGCTATTTACTAATACTTCACACAGATCAGCATACAAATGTCACAGAAAAGGAAACAATTAACTTTTTCTAAAGATCAAAATAAAGTACTGACTCTGTTAGGATTTTAAACTTACCTGGAAGTCATTTGATACTACCCGCCCCCCTCTGGCTCCTTCCGCTTTCCTCTTAATATCTTGTCTGTCACCAAGTCCATGGATTATCCCCGATTAATCTGTGATCCAGTTTTTACTCTCCATGCTTATCACTACTGCCCAACCTTAGACCCTCACTTGGACTACTGCAGTAAGATTACTCATCTTTTCTTCAATACATCCTTCACATGATTTCTGAAGTATTCTTTCTAAAACATAACTGTCTTTCCTCTGATCATTATCTTCCAAAAGGGGGCACATGGGTGGCTCAGTCGGTTGGGCATCCAACTTTTGTTTCGTTTCAGGTCATGGCCTCACGAGTCATACAATCAAGCTGGACATGAGGCTCTGGGCTCATCAGCAAGTTTGCTTGAGGATTCTCTCCCTCAGCCCTATCTCCCACTCACATGCACACTCTCTCTCAAATAAGTAAATTTTTTTCTTTAAAAATTTTACTTTTATCTATTTTTTTGTTGTTGTTTATTTATTTTTAAAGATTTTATTTATTCATGAGAGACATAAAGAGAAAGACAGAGACACAGGCAGAGAGAAAAGAGGCTCCATACAGGAAGCCTGGTGTGGGACTCGATCCTAGGACTCTGGGATCACGCTCTGAGCCAAAGGCAGATGCTCAACCACTGAGCCACCCAGGTGTCCCTCTTTAAAGATTTTATTTGACACAGAGAGAGAGTGAGAGAGCACAAGCAAGGGGAGGGGCAGAGGGAGAAACAGGCTCCCCTGCTCAACAGGGAGCAATACAGGGCTCAATTCCAGGACCCCGGGATCATGACCTGAGCCAAAGGCCAACGCTTAATCAATTGAGCCACCCGAGGTGTCCCACAGAAGTTTTTAATTTTAATGAAGACCAGTTCATCAGTTATTTCTTTCATGGCTCATGCCTTTGGTGTTGTATCTATAAATCATTACTATAAAGTGAAAATAAAATAAAATGCCCAATATATTAATATTTTTTTAAAAATCTTCCAAAAGTGCCTACATACAAAGTCAAAACTTCTTAAAAGGTATAGAGGGATTTTCACAATCTGGTCTTGCTGCCTTCTCTACAACCCTTCTTATACATTGTGTAAGCTAAAGAGCTTATATGTGCTTATCTCTGTGCTAGAGCCATGTCCCACTCAGATTCCCTGATCCTCCACTGTTTCACATCTTACATCTGTATAAAAAGCTTCCTTCCGGGATCCCTGGGTGGCGCAGCGGTTTGGCGCCTGCCTTTGGCCCAGGGCGCGATCCTGGAGACCCAGGATCGAATCCCACGTCAGGCTCCCGGTGCATGGAGCCTGCTTCTCCCTCTGCCTGTGTCTCTGCGGTGCTCTCTCTCTCTCTATCATAAATAAATAAAAATTAAAAAAATTAAAAAAAAAAAAGCTTCCTTCCGCCCTTCTTTCTTTGCAAGATGTAAATACATTTTCAGTCTTCATGGTTCAACTTCCTCTTCTGCACCACCAAATTGAACTGACCACTCCCTCTGTTCATCTGCTAAATCCTACGGGATGTTTATTACCATACCTATAATACCAGACAGTTCTTTATTACTGGGTCCCACACACACATTTTTTATATATATATGTATATATTTTTTTCCCCACACACACATTATATTGTGAGTTCCCTAAAGGTTGGGACTAGGTCTTAATTTACCTTTGGATTCCTATGTCTAGTTTGACACATTGCTCAATATACTTCTTTTGAAAGAACAAATCTGTCATTCTACCAATGGATTTTATATATTTGTGTGGTTTACCACAACAATTTCAAAATTAAGAAAAAGCTGACAAAGCACTCAATGCTTTTCAAACCCATGACCCATATGAATCAGTAATCGTAAGTGATCTGCTTGATAACAGTTAAATTAATGAACAGAAATCTGTAAATGGACTTAGACAAGTAAATTCTAACCACATTATAGTAATTCTAAGATATCCTACACTGAAATTGCTTGCATTCATCTTACACAGACATGATGACCCCCTTAGCTATAATAAATTGGTTTTCATTAAGCATTTTATTTTATTAGTATTTTTTTTTGGATAAGCATTTTAAATGACTTATCACAAATGACATATTTACACATTTCATTTTATTCTAAAAACTAAAAAGCTAAGCTTTATTTTTGTTTTTAGAATAAATATTTTGAAACAAAGGTCCAACTGTGATCCTTTCTTTGAATAATGTGCATACTCACCAGCTGCAACATACAAGCTGCTGCCAAAATGGCAATAACTCGACTGGGCTTTATTAAGACATCATCGCGATATAGTGACCCAAATGCAACCTGTAGTGCTGAAAACAAAAGTAGACATAGGGAATGAAATAAGAACAGCATCTATAAAAGTATTACTAAAATAACAACAATGATCATCTTCATACTCTAAGACATACATATAAATTTAGGATGTACATAAAAGGATAAGAGAAGTATCAATAATTAAAATGTTAGTAATGGTTATTGATTAATGGTGCTAATTTAATAACAGTGTTACAAATTTCCATTTATTCTACCTAACAGAGCTGGATTCTTCTGTATCTAATCTTGACAGAGATATTAAGATATTAATCAGAATTAAGACACCCTTGGAGGGACACCTGGGTGGCTCAGTGGATAAGCATCTGCCTTTGGCTCAGGTCATGATCCCAGGGTCCTGGGATTGAGTCCCCCATCAGGCTCCCCAGAGGGAGTCTGCTTCTCCCTCTGCTTGTGTCTCTGCCTCTCTCTCTAGGTCTCTCATGAATAAATAAATCTTAAAAAAAAAAAAAAAAAAAAAAGACACCCTTGGAAAAGTTTTATAAAGATACCCTGAGTAGACCAATCATTAAGTACACAGACCCCATGATACTTTTTTTTTAAATACCAATATAGGCATTTGTATTTATTTATTTATTTAAATTTTTATTTATGATAGTCACACAGGGAGAGAGAAAGAGAGGCAGAGACATAGGCAGAGGGAGAAGCAGGCTCCATGCACCGGGAGCCTGACGTGGGATTCGATCCTGGGTCTCCAGGATCGGGCCCTGTGCCAAAGGCAGGCGCCAAACTGCTGCGTCACCCAGGGTTCCCACCCCATGATACTCCTAACCCTGGTGCTTTCAGTGCTTCATTACTAGGGAGTGGGGAATAGCTCCAGGTCCTCTCCATGTCACACTCTCCCCCAGCCACCACAGCTATTTAGGCCTATCCTTCCTTCTCTCTATTGCCACTTTTGCATGTGTTTATACATATCCTTAACTTTTTTCTCTGCCTCCGTTTTAAGTACTGGGTACTTAACATCTGGATAAAGAGGGGAGCAGAGAATGAGCACTGGAACAGTAATTAGAAAAACTATAGGCCGACTGAGGTTCACTAAACTGCTAAAACCTAAAATAAGTCCCTAAATCCTGTAAGCATTCCTCATCTAAGAACTTGGAGCTCTAAAACACTGATTACATGAAAGTCTTCATACATGGGGAATACTTCACCCTACATCTTCCATATCCCAGGCAGATATATTTACAAGCTTAAGTAAGCAAACTGATAAGGCCTACATGACTAAGTAGGTTAGGGACAGATAGAATAGAATTGATAAAAACTATGGAGCAAATCAACACAAAACTGTCACCCTGGCATATTAAATGGGGCTTTTTTCCTAGCCTACAAGGTTAGAAAAAAATATTTATTTTCTACCAAAAGAAAAAAAAAGATTATGTTATAATTTTTGCATAATAGTAATTATGGTTGGTGCTCAACCATAATTGATTGAGCTTGGTTACCTTCTATATCAATATTCTGGTCAGGAATCTCCAGTTCAATAATATTCATGCTGGATTCTTTCCAAGAACCACTGAACATACTAGAAAAGTAGCCAGACTTAAAAAAACAAAACAAAACAAAAAAAACACAATTATCCAGTACTTTGTTTCTTCCAAATTACTTTCCCATTCCTAATTCCAAACAACTGTTCAATCAACAAGAATACATATTATTTCAAGAGAAAAAGAATTGCTAAATATGTCTACAGGAAAAATGAAATTAAGGACACTTAAGGTATGTCAGAGTACTTTATTGAGCATTAATTTAATGAAAACTAAACCAAATTCTCATTTACTATCTGAACTGAATCCCTATATTACTATTTGAAACTTACATTAGTTTTTTACTTAGTTAAATCAATTTCTGCATCTTGTATATGCTTTCCTTCTCAATCACATCCTAAATTCAAGCTTTGTAACACATATTTAAGCCTTTCATAAACATCTGACAATACACAAGGTGAATACATAATCACGTACTCAGAAGGAGTGAACCTTCATACTGTTGAATCCTTACTGTGTTAGTGGCTGTAAAGGGTCCAAACCAGTCCCGAGTAAGCATTAAAGGGATGTTCCCCAGAAATTAAGATAAATCCAAAGTTTAGTTTTACCCTAATCAGAAAATTCCAGAATGGACTTAAATTCTTGGAAAGGTACCAGAACAGATGAAGTCTTTAGTTACAATCTAGATGGCACCTTTCATAATTAGAATTACTTTGGAATAGATCAGATATTGACTAATTTTACTGAATACTTGTAAGTATAAGGCACTGTGAATACAGCAGTAAACAAAATATTGTTTCTGTCCTTAGAGGTCTTACTATATTTTAGCATTTGGCTTGCACCATTATCAATACAGTTTCTCTTGAGAGGCAAAGCCTTCAGAGAGATATTCTCATCCTTAAATTCACAAAACTGCTTTCATAGATTAAAAAAAAGAGGACATGGACCCTAGCCTCAAGTTGAGACCACTGTTCTGATATATTCCCCAGGCTATATACTTCAAGCCAAAGTAAATTTATTCAAAAAAATTAAATAAAAACCATGATTAAAATGTTATCGTTTTCAAATATTCGTACTGAAAATCTTGTACTATACTGTCTTACCAGTAATTACTGTCAAACAGTGAAGAAGGGAGAAAATATAAACTCCAGAGGATAAAAACTGAACTGTCCACTGTTCTATTCCCAGTGCCTAGAACAATGATTTGAAGAAAGAACAGATAGATTTGATGAAAGAATAAATGAGTAAAATATTTGAGCCATTAAAGTGACTCTTTCATTTTGAAAGTTTTGAATCTTTAAATTAAAGGAGGTAGCAGATAGTAATATTTTCAGCACACAAACCAAATATGTGTATCAGCTGAATGAATTAGTTTGTATTTGTTGGGTCTGGCCTTTAATTTAGCTGCATTTTCCAGAAGAAAAGAATAAGTGTCAAAACTTCCCATTCATATTCAACCATAACTACAAATAACATTTCGGCTAAATTCATCCAATTTAAATAATTATATACAAATAAACAAATTCAGCAATTTCCCCTTTTTTCTCTTTTGTCAACAAAAGGCATCAATACAAGAACCTCTCTGAAGTAATGACAAAAATTTGCTGGGCTGGTATGACAATAAATATTCAAAACCTGTTTTCTAGACCAAACTAAGTGTATGCTGTATTTCTAATAAAACAAGACTTTGGAATGAGATGTTAGAACTTAAACAACTGTCCATGCAAAGTAGTGAAATGCAATTAGAAAGAACACAACTTGAAAGAGTTCGAGCTATTTTTAAATAACTACCTAGATTACTGAAATAGAAAAATACTTACTTGACATAAATATATTTTGTGTAAGTTCCACTCTTCTCCTAGAGCACAAATCTTAATGTCACTATTTTCACCATTCAAAAATAATGTTTGGTAAATATATTTGGATGTACTCTTTAATTTTTTCCTGTTAAAAGAAATGCAAATATTATAATATGTGTATTACTGAATGTTTTATTCATATTGCATAAAACAAAATATTCTTGTTGTTCAATCTCTATTAAACAGAGCCAACTTGTCCATTGTGTAAAAGGATAGAGGAATATTATATGCAAATTTGTATTAGTACATAAGAAACTAATTAATAGTAGTTATCTCTAGGGTATTCTATTCCCAAAAGGGTTAATAGTGGCTAGATGGGACATCATATACAGGTGACCTTTCACTGTGCACCTTTTTTGTAATTTGTGATTGTTGAACTAAGTGAATTACCTGTAAGTCAGCACAGTGATTTTTCTGACTTCCTTGTTTAGAGAATAGTACTATGAAGGATCTCAATACAACTGCAATGATACTTCTATGCAACGACAAGATGGAGAACAAGAGTAAAAATTTTACCTACCCAAGTAATTTTTAGAGTAATTTACATTTAATCTTATTTTGGTACCAAACTATTCTTAAACTAGTCAAACAACTTTTTTTCCCCGTTAGACAAATGGTTTGCAGTCTTACATCAAAGGTTTTCAAAACTAAGCTCAATGAAGAGTGTCTTCGGGGCCACCAGAAGAAAGAGCTAAGAAGTAAACCCTGGACACCCTCACCTAACTTCAACTAGAGCAGCATCATATCTTGGGGATTTCCTTTTTTTTAAAAAAAAAAGATTTTATTTATTTATTCATGAGAGACACGGGGGGGGTGGGGGGCGCAGAGACACAGTCAGAGGGAGAAGCAGGTTCCATGCAGGGAGCCTGACGCGGAACTCGATCCCGGGACTCCAGGATCACGCCCTGTGCCAAAGGCAGGCGCTAAACCGCTGAGCCACCCAGGGATCTCCAATATCTTGGGGATTTCTGCGTAAGATCTCATTTAAAAGATGAATTGTATATATTTTTAAGTTTGATAATCATTGTTCAAGATGGTTCAATGAGTAAGAAAAGCCGTAGGCAAAGGCCAATGCATACTTTTTCATATTCCTGGCCAATCCTGACAAGTTTTCTTGGTAGTTAAAATGTTTAATCTTTCAAAAAAAAAAATGAAGCTATCATTTCAGATGATGTCTTGAACCAGTGTGTTTGACATGTCTTCCCAACAGATAGTAAAAAAAAAAGCACATGCTTTGGTGGTGGAGAGACTTGGGTTTGAATCCCAGCTCCACCACAGCTCAGTTACCCTAGATATAAAGAGGATATTAATAATAACCACTTTATTGGGTTACTGTGAGAAATAAATGGGACAATATAGTTTCTAGTTCCTGATGGCACCATCCCCAAATTACATTAAAAGATTAAAAGCACAGAAAGGAATAAGCCTACAACAGCAGAGAGTAAGGATGGGTTTACCACCTGGTGAGAGAATTCAATGGATCTGGAAGTTAGAAAATGAAATGGAACACAAAAGAGCAGCAAAAGCCCCAACCTGGAATATATCGTGAAGGTCTAGGATGGAGGCTGAAACCCATCTGCCCTTCTGAAGCCTGTGTGGGTTGAGGGGAGGAGGTCTCAGGGGAAGAAAAGGCAAAAGTGAGGCCAAAAATGGGGAAATACATTCCCCTAATGGCCTCTTCCACCACGTATGAATACAGAACACAGATAGCCAGAATATAGATAACTCAGACAAAGGTTCCAAGGCTCTTCTAGGAAGGAGAGGACAAACCTATCAGGAAAAGCTAAGACTTTAGTGTAGGTGTTGGCACCCTGGACAAAGCAATCCTCACTCTGGCATTTGAGGAATCTGTAGTTTGTGAGCTCTTAACCCATTCACCCTGAATCATGGTCCCCAAACCATGTGTCTAAGCACCTGGAGCACCACAGCAAACTCAGGGATGCGTGTGGAGTATTTTATATTGGAAGGAAACAACACAGCAGTATCTTTCAGGTACTATACTATCTACTACTATTAAGCAGTAGTTTGAGCCTAACTGTGAGGTACTTCCTTAGGACTAGAGGTACCATGAAAAATATTACTGAGACACTAAGGGTTCTGTGAACAAAAAAAGTTTGGGAATCTCTACTCTAAAACAAAGCATGTTCCACTCATATCCAATTCAGTAGTCAGTCTTCCTAAAGCAAAGGCTTGGTAGCAATAGATCTATTTACTCTATTAAAACATACACATACCAGTTATTCATTCTTAAATATAAGCAGACAACCAAGGATGACCCAATATGGAGAGAATTGGGAGATTAAAGACTATGGAAAGAGAGAAACTGGCCCCAGAGGAAATATATTAATTTAGGAAAAAGGGAACTTAAAACACTCTAAAATTGGTGTATCTAGAAATCTGAGAGAATATTACATTTATAAAACAACAGAATAAAATTTTTTTAAATTTATTTATTTATGATAGTCACACAGAGAGAGAGAGAGAGGCAGAGACATAGGCAGAGGGAGAAGCAGGCTCCACGCACCGGGAGCCCGATATGGGATTCGATCCCGGGTCTCCAGGATCGCGCCCTGGGCCAAAGGCAGGCGCCAAACCGCTGCGCCACCCAGGGATCCCAAAACAACAGAATACTATGATAAGGAGAAAAAAGAGCTCTTAGAGACTAAAAAGCAGATTACTGAAATTACAAAGCCAAACGAGAGTCAGACTGATAAAGTTAAGGAAACTTCCCAGAACTTAAAGCAAAAAACACCTAGAAAGGAAAAAAAAGAAAAAAGGAACAGGTACAATCCAAGAAATCCAAAATCTGATTAAGAGGAGTCCAAGAAAGAGAAAAAGATAATAGGAAAAAAGAAATCCTGGAAGAAAATGTCTCCAAACTAGTCTCCAGATTGTAAGGTCAACCAAGCACTGAGGCAATTAAAAAACCCACACTTATGGGAAGCCCAGTGGCTCAGTGGTTTAGCGCCATCTTCAGCCCAGGACGTGATCCTGGAGACCCGGGATTGAGTCCAGCGTTGGGCTCCATGCATGGAGTCTGCTTCTCCCTCTGCCTGTGTCTCCGCCTCTCTCTCTCCGTCTCTCTCATGAATAAATAAATAAAATCTTAAAAAAAAAAAAAAAAAAACCTACACTTAAGCACATTCTAGTTAAATTCCAAAATACCAAAGAAAAAAATTCCAAAATTTCCAGAGGGAAAAAAGGTCACCTAAAAAGAAAAGAGAATTATTATTTTTAAATAGATTTTTATTTATCTATTCATGAGAGACACGCAGAGAGAGGGCGTCCCAAGAAAAGAGAATTAGACCAGCATCCTATTTCTCATCAACACTGTAGGCTAGAAGACAATGAAGGAGTATCATCAAGAATATGAAATTATTTTAGATTAGGTTTCCATACCCTGCCAAAGGATGAACAAAGTCAAAGGCTAAATTTACATTTAGACAAGCACAAATTACCTCCTTTTGCATCCTTTCTGAGGAAAATACATGAGGATGCAGATCCCTAAAATGGGTGAGAAAGAAAAAGACACAGGCTACAGAAAAATTAGATACAATCCTAGAGGTGTGGTAAAATTAAGTCCCTGGATAAGCACAGACCTGGAGAATGATGGATACAGAATGGAATAGGAGGATGAGGGACGCCTGGGTGGCTCAGCGCTGGAGCATCTGCCTTCATCTTGGGATCAAGTACCGCAGCAGGCTTCCTGCATGGAGCCTGCTTCTCTCTCTGCTTCTCTCTCTCTGTGTGTGTGTGTGTGTGTCTCATGAATAAGTAAATAAAATCTTTAAAAAAAAAAAAAAAGGAATAGGAGGATGAAGGGTGGGGGCAGGACTTGGGTTTAGAGGAGGACACCATGAAAATACATTTGGAAGATAGAAAAGCCTGAATATATAATGAAGAAATATTATTCTTTTGCCAATGTTGAGGAGGGGAGAGTCAAACTCTAGGAAAATAAAAAAGCAATACAAAAAAAGGGAACTATGCAATAAGATACAAATGAAAACAGGGTTTGACTTCTGAGCACTTGATGGAATATAGAAAAAAGATTGCACTTAAATGTGAGGTTAGAAAACTTCAACAGAAAAACGAGTTGTGACATCGCACACAGGAAGTATAATATATAACCCTAGCACACTACTTGTTCGCAGTGAACGGTACGTACGTAGTTATAACAAACACTGTCTACTAGGTCTCAAAATTTAATGACAATCTAGACACAGCAAAACCCAAGATCTGGTTGCAGAACAGTTGAGTTTTAATAGTTACGTTGACACAGAAGTAGAAAGATGCAGCTGTCAAGGCGTTAAATGAGTGGAAGGTGGGCCTGGAAGCCAAAGCTCTTCATGGAGTAGATGGCTGAGGTGGGAGAGCACACCTGACAACCTCAGGGACCATGACTGGTGCCAACACACAAATTTCTATTAAATTTCTTAATATTTTCTTACACCCTTCATCCATGCTAGGCTGAACAGCCAGGCCTCTTCTACTGATATAAAACATACTAAATTCTCGATGTATTTTGTAATACGGCTTTATACACTTTCTAGTCCACTCATGTAGTTCAGGGGTTGGCAGTTTTTCTGTGAAGGTCTGGACAATAAATATTTTTGGCTTTGTGGGCCCGACAGGCTCCAAGCGAGTGTGTTAGCATCCCAGTGGGCAGCTGCCTGCCTGCCTGTCTTACCCTACCACATCTCAGCAAACTTCTCTACTGTCTAGTGTGGGATACAGCCACACCACCTCCAATATCTGAATTTCAGTTTGGGAAAGATGGCTATATTCCACATCTGTTCCTTCCTTGGGTATTCGGTCTCAGTCCAAGTCGTGATTGCACCCTTATATCCTCTATTCCTGTATATTTGTAGAAATCTCTTTCCTTAGTAATTTACCTTCAGTCCTTAATTCCCCATTACTTGTTAACAATGGTTGTGTTAAGTTTTCCCTGTTCAAATTACTGCATAATTTCTTTTAATCAGACCCTGACACATAGATTCCAATGACATTAAACATAAGTGGTCTAAATAATAGTTAAAAGGCAGAGATTATCCTAGAGGATTAAAAAAAAAAAAGGCTAGACCCAACTATATGCTCTCTACAAGCTACCTATTATAAAGATACAGGTAAAGAAGGAAACAATGGAAAAGATGTATGTTTTAAACACTTATCGAAAGTAATCATGGAAATATTACCAGGGATAAAGAGTGTGTAATGATAAAGGGGGCCAAGTTTTCTTTCTTTCCTTCCTTCCTTCCTTCCTTCCTTCCTTCCTTCCTTCCTTCCTTCCTTCCTTCCTCCCTCCCTCCCTCCCTCCCTCCCTCCCTCCCTCCCTTCCTTCCTTTCATGATAGTCACAGAGAGAGAGGCAGAGACACAGGCAGAGGGAGAAGCAGGCTCCATGCACTGGGAGCCCGACATGGGATTCGATCCCGGGTCTCCAGGATCACGCCCTGGGCCAAAGCCAGGCGCCAAACCGCTGTGCCACTTCAACATCTGGCAGGTCAGGCTGTGGCTCAGCAGTTTAGCACCACCTTCAGCCCAGGGCGTGACCCCGGGGTCCCTGGCTCGAGTCCCGCATGGGGCCTGCTTCTCCCTCTGCCTGTGTCTCTGCCTCTCTATCTCTCATGAATAAATAAAATCTTAAAAAAAAAAAACCACACTCATTAGGCACTGTTCATTATACACAATCTAATATCTGTCAAACCGTAAAATGCAAGTACTAGCATCTCCATCTTCCTTATGAGGAAATAAGGCTGGTGAGCACAGAATGCAGACTAGACCTCAGAATCTGAGCTCAGCCCACCAGACTAACCCTCCAGAGAAGGAAACTCGACATCTGGGCGGGGGGGCGGGGGTGTCCATTTTTGTAAATAAACACAGTCCTCCCTGCAGAAACCTGCACGAAAGGCCTCTAGACAGCCAGCTATTAAAACAGAGAGTAGGGATGCCTGGGTGGCGCAGCGGTTTGGCGCCTGCCTTTGGCCCAGGGTGCGATCCTGGAGACCCGGGATCGAGTCCCACGTCGGGCTCCCTGCATGGAGCCTGCTTCTGTCTCTGTCTCTCTCTCTCTCTGTGACTATCATAAATAAAAATTAAAAAAAAAGAAAACAGAGGGTATCCGTGAACCTCTCATCTAACGATACATACGTCATACTCGTGTTAAGTACAGCAGAGGTCTTGAGTTTTTTAAAGTTTCATTTAAAAAAAAAAAAAGTACATTTGTGACCCCCGCTGACGATCTTAGAAAAAAAAAAAAAACACCAACCGGGTTGCTTTGCGTGAAAACATTGTACGCGTAAACTACATTCTAATTTTCTAATTAACCAATTAACATCCTGTTCTTCAACTCTGAGAAGAAGAAAAAAAAAAAGGTGGGGGGAGGGTGGGCAGAGCAGGCTGCAGCGCGGGCTGGCGTTCCGGGTCCCCGTCGCTGAACGTCACCCTCGCGGCCGGGAGGGCGCCCCGCGTCTCCCGCCACTGCCCTCCACACCCGCGGGCGGCGGCACGGGTGCCCCTTAAGGTGACCGGACGCAGAAGGACGCGCTCTCCTGCCGCCCGCCCGGACAGGAGGCGCAAGCTCGGCCCGGCGTCCCCGGGTCACGGCCCCCGGGTCACGGGTCACAGCCCCCGGGTCACTGCCCAAGTCGGCGGGCGCCCCCGGGTCACGGTCACGGTCACGGCCCCGGGTCACGGCCCTCAGGTCACGGCCCCCGGTCAGGGGTCACGGCCCGGGTCAGGGGTCACGGCCCCCGCCCGCCGCCCCCACGCACCTGCGCGGCGTGTTGAGGAGCCGCTGCTGCTCGTCGCCTTCGTCCTCGTCGTCGTCCGTGTCGGAGTCCGGGTGGCAGTAGCACAAGGCCCCGCCGCTCCGCTTGCGCTTGCGGCCGCCGGGACAGTAGCAGAAGCCGTGGCCGGCCCCGCCGCCGCCCCCGCCCGCGTCCGGCCTGCGAGCCGCGCCCCCGGCCCCGGAAGCCGGCTCCGGCGGGGCTCGGGCTCGCCCGCGGCGGCGCAGCACCCGGCTGCTCAGGGAGCCCATGGACCGCGGCTCGCCGGGGCCTCGGCGCTCCTCAGCGAGCGCGGCGGAGACCGCCTCCCGCCATGGCCCGGCCGCCCGCCGGGTGCCTACGCCGCCGCCTCCTCACGCGCGGCCCCAACCGTCGCCGCGGGCGCCGCCGCCTCCATCCTCCGCCCCGCCCGCCGCGTCCAGCCGCGTCCAGCCGCGTCCAGCCGCTCCCGCAGCACCTCGCCGCCTCGCTGTCGCAACAAAGCGCGGACCGGAAGGCGCGTGCGCGCGGCGAGCCTCCGGAAGGGGCGGGGCCAGGGCGTGGGCGCGGTGGGCGGAGCCTGCGCCAGAGCGGACGCGGGCGGGGGCGGGGCCTCGGCGGGGAGGGGCGGGGCCTCGGCGGGGGGCGGGCCCGGGGGGCGCCGGCTCGCCGGCTCCCGTGACCCGCGGGCCGACCTCGGCGTGCGCATCCCTCCCCGCAGCCCGGTTCCAGCGCGGCCGCGACTTCCAGCGCGGGGGTCCCCCCTGCACCGGGTCCTCTCCCCTGCAGGAGCCGGCCCCTTGCCGGGATCCCGCGGGCGGGTGTTTGCCAAGCCTTCCCGGGGAGGCCGACTGCGCAGAGGGGTGGGCCTCGGCCTGCTTCTGCCCTAGGCGCTTAGGGCGGGCGTTCCCGGCCCTCCGTGGCTGCGGTCCTCGCGAGGGGCGTGGGGCGTGGGGCGTGGGGCTCGGGGCGGGGGCGGGGACGGCCAGCCTGCGCCCCCTGACTCCCCAGTGCTCCTTTCCCAAGTAGGGGCCATGGCTTAGTGACACCATAAACCCCCGTGGCCCCGCCGCCAAGTATGAGGATTCAAAACTAAAATCGTTGTGATTTAGTCTTTTAAACAGAACGATACAGAACGAAGCTCGCCCTCCCCCTCGGGCTTTCCCATGCATGTTCCTGTACCCAAGAGCAAGGTGTGTTCTTTAACACATTTAGGCGCGTAATTGCACCGCACCTGTCATTCTGCACCTTGCTCCTTTCTCAGACCTACGCTTCGGAGGCTTATCCAGTTGACGTTTCTCCAGGTAATTTTCACTGTTGATTGTGTCACTACCCCACAATTTATCTTTTGAGGGAGCGAGGTCGTTCCTACTTTAATATGCTTGCAGAGTAGCAATGAACACTGCGTGCAAAGGTTCACGGAGCAAGGGGCGCCTGGATGGCTCAGTCGGTGAAGCGCCCGCCTTCTGCCCAGGTCAGGATCTGAGTCCTGGGAGCAAGCCTCACATTGGGCCCCCAACTCAGCCAGGAGTTGGCTTCCCCCTCTCCCTCTGTGATCTCTCGCTTTCGCTCTCCCCTCAAATAAAATCTAAAAGATTCATCAAATAGATTCCTAGAAGCAGGTATCCTGGGAACTTTCCGTCTTTATTAGCTGTTTCCAGATTGGTCTCTGAAATGATTGCACCAGCTTATGTAGTTGAGGGCCCCAGCGGACTGGTGTCTGACTTATCCCTGAGAAATCTGAATGAGGAGAGGCCGGTTGAAGCAGCTTGGGAAGGGGTGGAATGGAAAGGAGCAGAGAATGATGGCAGCAAGGGGATCAGTCATCATGCCCAGAATTTGTCAGCACAAAGGATGTGCAGGTGTCTCCCATGGAAAAAGTATGGGCCACCAGAAGACAGCCAGCATGGGATCATCTAAGATTCTGTCCCAGAAGCCTGTGTGGAAGGATAAACTGATTTTAGCAAGAGTAACTGAAGGTATCATTGAATCCCCAGGGGCTGGAAAAGGAGAATGCATTTGCTTTGCCAAAGGAACAGAAGATGAGTAGTTCCCTGGTGATGGTGTTGATAAAGGAACCTAGGAGAATGCCCTCAAGAATCAGCTTCAGGGACGCCTGGGTGGCGCAGTAGTTGAGCATCTGCCTTTGGCTCAGGGCGTGACCCTGGGGTCCTGGGATCGAGTCCCGCATCAGGCTCCCCACAGGGAGCCCGCTTCTCCCTCTGCCTGTGTCTCTGGCTCTCTCTGTGTCTCTCAGGAATAAATAAAATCTTTAAAAAATCAGCTTTAAAGATCTGGCAATGTTAAACAGTGCTGACCCTCGACCACCACAGCCATAACAGGTAAGAACTTCCCTGCTTCCCTTTAGTCTTCTCCTTCCTGCTACACCCAGGCTGAGTTTGGGCTGGGGTGGAGGGTTGGGTGTGTGGAAGGAAAGTGAGGTGGAGAAAGAAGAGAAGACCACTCTATTCCTTATTCCTCCTGCCAAAAGGCCAGAGCTGAGCAAGGGAAGAAGCCTCAACTGTAAATCCAGTTTGCAATTTTGATCAGACATATTAATGACTAAAGTGACCTTAAGGGACTACACAGTAGGACTTTTTAAAACCTAAGAGTGACCAGAAAGGTTCCAGCTCTATCCTCTATCTGAATTTTCATCTAAAGCTGGGAGAAGAGCTGGGCCCATCAACACAGGTAAATGAACAGTGGGAGAGAAAAACAAAGTGCCTCATAATTATATTCCAGAGTCATGCTTGTCCTTGACCATAAACATCCTTCCAAGGCATAATCCTGGCCATTATACCATCCCCAAAAAAAAAGCCTTATCCTTATCACTTATCCAGTGAACAAATTAAATTTAAAATTTTGGCTAAATTATATATATAATTTAAAGATAACACTACCAAGAACTTGTAATGCTTCCAGAGTCAAATAAAGTTGGAGATGCCATACTTTTCTAGGTAGGCATCAAAGCAGGAGTACTGTTTCCTATAATTAATGTGAATGACTAAGTAGTCATACAAATAACCTTTACCAATAACTCGGGCATTTATAATGGGCAGGTATAAACAAATTAAAAAAAATTCATCTATCAAAATACAATAGATATTATAGAATGAACAAAGAAGGCAGTTATTCTCACTTAATTCAAATGTTCTATTTAGTAGAACAGAGAGCATCACTCATTTCCGGAGAATAAATTAATACATTATTTCATATCATTAGTGTTTGGTGTATGTGAACATTAGTGTTATAGCAGTGAGTGCACATAAGACTAAATATTATTATTTTTTTCTTAATGTTGTAGTTTCTAATAGAAACTAAGCGATACAAGCTTTTTAAAGACATCTCCTAAAAAAAAAAAAAAAAAAAGACATCTCCTTTCAGGATCCAGGGTGAAAAATCTCAGAGGTGGAAAAGTCAATTAGAGAAAGAATACACCTCATTTTAAAGATACCATATTTTATTAAAATTATTTTTCCATGTATTCAAACTGAACTTTTGATTAAAATCAAGTACAACTTCAGAATAATTCTAGAGTTGAAAGGCACATGCAAACGTAAATTACTACAAATTAACAGAATTGAAAAATATTTTTAAAATTATTTTTAGCACAAAAAGAATTCCTTTAAGTAAATTCAGAACATTATACCATCACCAAAAAAAAAAAACAAAAAACAAAACCTAGTTGCACACTTTTTTCCATTCATCTTCCAGCTAGATTAAGATATTAACCGTAACAACATGGAATGTTCAGCATTTATGTTTGTTAATCACACATATATAATCTGTATCACCACACCTAGAATTTAATTTGTCAGAAAGCTGGCTGATTTTTGGTATACGTCAACCTGGAGAGAGTAGTAATCTTAACATAAGATGTGAGGAAGGAAGTCTCCAATGCAAACTTTTGTAGATTAACTAACAGTAGAGACAAAATCTAAACAAAGGAGATTATTGGATGTCTTCAAAGTGTGGTCATGCAAAATAGCAAATTGGATAGATAGTCTTATGAACTAGATACTCACAATTTCAAATCAAGAAATTACTAGTCACTTTGAAATCAGAACTAGGGAAGCAGAGAGTGATTTTAGAATAGTCTTTCAATCTTCCATTTCAGTAGTTTTTCACCAAAATCATGAAATAAATTTAGTACATTCCAATTTCTGTGAAACACAGATGAGGAAATCTGTTTAAAAGGTGGAGTACATTTTTATTTCTAATTTTAAATCTCCTTTTAGGTTTTATAAGCTTTGAAATGCAAGTACAACTTTAAAGCATCATAATGAGTAATTGCTGATGAATAATAAGAGTCAGTCTGTATCCTAGGAAGCATCTGTAGGCGTTTTAATTGGAAATAAGCATTCTGAGATAATGCTAATAGCAGTGTAGAAAAATGAAGTTAAAAAAAATTTCAATGTGTTGGGATTCCTCCTTTCCTTCTTGGATTTTATTTTAATCATCTCCTCCACAGAGAATGAGCAGAACCTTTCTGTAGTCTCCAGATGTGTCACCCTGGGAACAAGGGAAGCAAAGATACAGTCAGATAAATGGCTTTTAACATGGAATTCACAGCTCAGAGTCATCAGAGTGTTAACTCTGTTAACTCAGAGTGTTAACTTTTTAAATCTTCTCTGGCTTTTTCCAGAAAGGTGTTCGTTGTTGTTTTTTTAATTTTTATTTATTTTATGATAGAGAGAGAGAGAAAGAGGCAGAGACATAGGCAGAAGGAGAAGCAGGCTCCATGCACCGGGAGCCCGACGTGGGACTCGATCCCGGGTCTCCAGAATCGCGCCCTGGGCCAAAGGCAGGCGCCAAACCGCTGCGCCACCCAGGGATCCCTATGTGTTATTTTTTTAATTGCAAAAAATAATACATGTTCAATGTAGAGAATAAAGACCTAAAGGAAGAAGATAAAAATCCTAATTCCACCATCCAGAGATTACTATTCCTCAAACTTTGGTGTGTGCATATCCTTACAGACTTTTTTCTATATGTATAGATTCCTGTGTGATCGCCTAGAGTGTTCTGTATTCTTTTTTCTTTTTTACATAAGTAGACTACTTCCCTCTTTTAATTTATTAGATATTCTTCTACAACATCATTCTTTGATGATTAAAAGGTATTCCATTGTATACAGGTAAAATAATTTATTAGATCACCCTCCCCCACTGTTAGATATTTCTTGTTTCCAGTTTTTCACTATTATAAACACTGCTGCAATAAGCAATTAGGTTGAATTTTTGTGCATTTCTTGATGAGTCAGGATAAATTCTCATAAAATGGGAATTACTAGATTTATGATCATGTATTTTCCTAACCCTTTCAATATGTGTTGCAAAATAGCCTTCCAGAAAGGTGCTGAAATTTCTACATGTAATTTTTATGGCCTAATTAATGGATCAATTTTTGTTTGTGCTTCATGGGCACTAGAAAAGAGGGAATGCCAGGGCGCCTGGGTGCCTGGGATAGTTAAAAGTCCTACTCTTGATTTCGGCTGAGGTCATGATCTCAGGGTCATGAGACTGAGCCCTGCATTGGGCTCCAAACTCAGCAGGGAGTCTGCTTGAGATTCTCTCTCCCTCTGCCTCTCCCTCCTGCACACACTCTCTCTTTCTCTAAATTCTCTAAATCTCTTTCTCTAAAATAAACAAATCTCTTTTTTTGTATTTTTTAAATTAATTAATTATTTTTTAATAAACAAATCTTTAAAAAAAGAGAAAGCAAGCAAGCAAGAAAGAAAAGATGGAACCTCTGTCTATAGGATTCAAAGTTTAATACATATCTTTTAAAATAAATCTTATATATCCTTGTTTATTCTTTGCCTCATCAATCTGCCAAAGAACAAGGCTGTGTTTGTTAAACTCTATCTGGCATACTGTGGCCATCAAGGTCTTTCGGAGCTTCGAATTTCTTAATAGATTTGAATACAATATTTATTTGGTACCTAAAGTTTCATGACAATTTAATCTCCGTTGTGAATACTTTTCTTAATATAAAGTGATCTTGGGCGCTTGGGTGGCTCAGTCGGTTGAGTATCTGCCTTCAGCTCAGGTCACGGTCTGGAGGTCTTGGGATCAAGCCCCACGTTGGGCCCCATGTTGGGCCCCACACTTCCCTCTCACTGTGCTCCCCCCCACTGTGCTCTCTTGCTCCTGCTCTCTCAAATAAAGAAATAAAATCTTAAAAAATATGTATAAAGTCATCCATTTTTTCCTATTTAATGCTTTTTCTCCTTAAATTCTTTTTTCCTGGTAGGGTAATCCCTTTCTTTTTTATATTGTCAAATGTAAACTGCCTTTTTATAAAGTCACTCATCTGTCACTATGTTTTAGTTGTTCCTTATAAACAGCATAGACTAGGATTTTACTTTTTTATATAACCTGAGGGATTATTTTATAACATATTTTTGTCTTGCTTCTGTCATTTTTTCTATTATTGACATACTTTATATTTCTGTTCTGGTTCTTTTGACAGCTGTTATTAAATGAGCAATGTATTCTTTATTTCTAATATTTTCCAGTGTTGTGTGTGTACACATATATACTTACATATTTATATATATACAAACATAATATAAATATATTTATAGTGATGTTGCCCAAGCCAGCCAATATTTTTGTGCCCCATCATTAGAGTGCCTGTATAGTATAACATCGTATAAATTTTCCGTAATTTATTTGAGTCATCCCCTATTGGTTATCAAAAATAATAATATATAATGAATTATGTGCCATAAGTCTATGCCATTTAATTTATACAAATATAAAAATATAAAGTAATGTAAATATAAATAATTCTATGATACAATATTTAGTTGACTTTTTCACATTTCACAAAACAATTTTATTTAAATTCTTTCCCAAATCTTTATTATTATGATAATATATATATAACAAATTGTCATTTTAACCATTTTTTAAAAGATTTTTTAATTTATTTACTTGAGAGACTGAATGTGAGCATGAGCAAGGGGAGGAGCAGAGGGAGGAGCAGGCTCCCTGCTGAGCAGGACCCTGGGATCATGACCTGAGCTGAAAGCAGATGCTTAGTGAACAGAGCCACCCAGGCGCCCCAGCACTTTAACCATTTCAAGTGTATAATTCAGAGGCATTAATTATATTCACATTGTTGTGTAACCATCATCACTAAAATCCTTTTCATCTATTTCCAAAACCTTTTCATCTTCCCAAGTCTGTCACCACTAACCAGCAACCTTCCATTTCTTTCCTCCTCCCCACCCTCCGTAGCCTCTAATCTACTTTCTGTCCTATGAATTTACTTATTCTAAATATTTCATATAAGTACATAGGATCATATAGTATTTGTCCTCTTATGTCTGGTTTATTCCACTTAGCGTGTTTCCAAGGTGCACCCATATGTCGAAAAGTCATTCCTTTTTGGGTACACGAATATACCCCACTTTGTGTATCCATTCATCTGTTGCTGAATGCCTAGGTTGTTTCCAGCTTTTGCTATTATGAATAATGTTTACATTGGTGTGCACAGAGTCCCTGTTTTAATTTCTTTTGAGTATATATAGCTGGGAGTGGAATTGCTGGGTCATAGGGTAATTCTACGTTTAACAATTTTTTTTTAATGTTTAACGTTTTGAGGAAGTGCCAAACTGTTTTTCCCAGTGTCTGCACCATTGTACATCCACGCTGGCGATGCACAAAAATTCCAATTTCTCCATGTCCTCCCAACATTTGTTATCTTCTGGCTTTGTTTTTTAAAATTATAGTCAGCCTAGTAGGTATGAAGTGGTATTTCATTGTGGTTTTGATTTGGATTTCCCTCATGATTAATGATGTTGAGCATCTTTTTTATGTGCTTATTGACCACTTGTTTATCTTCCTTAGAGAAATGTCTATTCAAATCATGTCATTTTCATTTAATTAAAAAAAATTTAAAAAATATTTTATCCATTCATGAGAGACCCACAGAGAGAGAGGCAGAGACACTGGCAGAGAGAGAAGCAGGCTCCATGCAGGGAGCCCGATGTGGGACTCGATCCCGGGACCCCAGGATCATGCCCTGGCCAAGGGCAGGCGCCAAACCACCAAGCCACCCAGGGATCCCCCTCTGTCATTTTTAAATTGGGTTGTTTGTCTTCTTGTTGAGTTGTAGAAACACTTTACATATTCTGGATAGTAAACTCTAGTTAAATGTGACTTGCAAATATTTTCTCCAATCCTCTGGATTAGTGCACTTTTAATTTATTATTTTCTCTAAAGAAATTCCTAAACATATAATAGCTAAGTAAGAGGTATAGCTTATTATTTTTTAAAGATTTTATTTATTTATTCATGAGAGATACACAGAGAGAGGCAGAGACCCAGGCAGAGGGAGAAGCAGACTCCCTGTGAGGAGCCTGATGCGGAACTCGATCCCAGGACCCTGGGATCACAATCTGAGCCAAGGCCAGATGCTCAACCACTGAGCCCCCAGGTGCCCCAAGGTATAGTTTATTTTTTATACATTTATTGCCAGGACGCCTGGGTGGCTTAGTCAGTTGGGTGTCAGACTCTTGATTTTGGCTCAGGTCAGGATCTTATTAGGGTCATGAGATTGAATCCTGCATCAGGTCCCACATTCAGCAGGAGTCTGCCTCTCTCTCTTTCTCTCTCTCTCTCTCTCTCTCTTTCTCTCTACCTCTCCTTCTGCCCTCCCCCAAATCACACTCACTCTCTCACTCTCTCTGAAATAAATAAACAGGGGCGCTCAGGTGGCTCAGCGGTTGAGCGTCCACCTTCAGCTCAGGGCATGATCCCAAAGTCCTGGGATCGAGTCCCACATCAGGTTCCCTGCATGGAGCCTGCTTCTCCCTATGTCTCTGCCTCTCTGTCTCTCATGAATAAATAAATAAAATATTAAAAAATAAAATAAAATAAATAAACATCATTTGCCAAAATACCCAAACATTTATTGCCAAATTGCCTCCCAGAAAAGTTAGACCAATTTACAGTCCGTCTTTGCACAAGAGATGGTGAATTTTCCCCAAGCTCTTCTCAATGCTGGTTAGGATCTTTTTAAAAATTTTTTTTTTCTTTTTAAAATTTCTTAAGGTATGGGCACCTGGCTAGCTCAGTGGTTGAGTGTCTGCCTTCGGCTCAGGGTGTGACCCCGGGGTCCCTGGATCGAGTCCCACATCGGGCTTCCTGCAGGGAGCCTGCTTCTCCCTATGCCTGTGTCTCTGCCTCTCTCTGTGTCTCTCATGAATAAATAAATAAAATCTTTAAAAAATGAAATAAAATTTGTTAAGGTATTCGGTGAAAGGTGGTTATTTGTTTTTAGCTGTAATTTATCGTACATTATTTGGATTAAACACTCTATATTTAGAATGTCTGTTAAGTGTTTCATTTTTTCATGAAATGCATGTTTTCTTTTTGGATTTTTCTCCTTTTTCTTAGTGTTTTGTAGAAGCTCTTCACATAGAGATATTGACTCTATACTATATATTACAAATACATTTTCCCCATAACTTCCCTACTGGTCATCCCTGAATCTTAAAAGTATTTTACTTAAAGCTAGCTCTCTTTCAGCTCTGCAAAATAGTTACCTCACAGACTGTCCAGAAATAGAAACAGGTTCCTAAATGCTTTGTATGCACAGTAACAAACTTAGCAGCTCAAATCACCTCATAATTACACCCTGCAAGCTCGGTGTAGGATTCAGAATACTTAATTCATGGGTCAAATCCAGCTTCGCAGTCAGCTGTGCAGGCAACACCAGCTCCTCGAGGGAAGTGGGTCTTGCCTTCATATTCATGAGGCCCTTCTGGCTTCCCCAGGAAGCCAAATCCCAGTAATGAGGGGTTTTGAGGGATGGGAATCATTTGTCTCCACGCCCGCCCGGCAGTCTGCTGCCAGGTAGAGAAAGGCAGCATCCCGGGTGGCTAACGTGCCTTCCCGTGTTTGGCAGATCTCAGCTGGCGCTGAAGAGGGCTCCGGACGACTGATCTAGCTGTGTAGTGGTCACCGTAAGCGGCGGACAAGGAAACTGCACTCTTTAAAAATTTTTCTTTTTAAAGATTTTACTTCTTTATTCACGAGAGACACAGACAGAGAGAGGCAGAGACCCAGGAGGAGGGAGAAGCAGGCTCCATGCGGGGAGCCCGACGCGGGACTCGATCCCGGGACCGCAGGGCCACGCCCTGGGCTTAAGGCAGACGCTCAGCTCGGTTGAGTTGAGCCGCCCAGGTGCCCCAGGAGATTGCACTCTTACGAGTATTCATTAAAATCTACTCTCTCTTGGGGCGCCTGGGTGGCCGGGTCAGTTAAGTGTCTGCTTTTGGCTCAGGTCATCGTCCCGGAGGCCCAGCAGCCCCAGAGCCGGGCTCCTGCGCTCCCTGCGCAGCGGGGCCTGCTTCTCCCTCCCCGTCTGCTCCTTCCCCCCTCCGTGCCTCCTCCCTCCCTCCCTCTTTCTCTCTCTCCCTCCCTCCCTCCCTCCCACCTGTCTGTAGCTCCCGTCTCTCGGTCTGAGCTCAACAGGAAAGAGTCACTGCATTTAGAAGGCAAACATTTCCGGCTTCTAGCCTGGCAGAGACTGAAAGGTGTGTGAAAGGAGAGAAACCGGGAAGGCCACCTTTAGGGGGGACGCCATGTGGCAGGGGGCAGCTGGGAAGTGTCTGAACGCCGCCGGGTTCCAACCCCTTCTTTCCTGAGGGCTTTCCCCGGACCCACCTTGATGAAGGAGTACAGAGACTTTCCGTAAAGCCTCCTGAAGTTCTCCCTGATGTCCATCATATCAATCTCCGCTCGAGACACCATAACCCTGATGAGGGTGTCATCATCTGTGCCCAAGCCCTAAGGAAGCAAACAAGACCCATGCTGGTGTTCAGAGGTCCCTTCCTCAGCTTACCACGGCCGACCGTGCAGGGCTCTCTTGAGGGAGACAGCTCCGCAGCACGCAGAAAGCCCGGGACTACTGCTCCCCCGTGTGCGAGGGTCCACACTTACCCTCCCAACGCTCTGCATTCTGACCACAGGAGACCGCTCCCTGCCACAGGGCTCCCACCCTGCCTTCTCAGCCTGCTGCCTCGCCTGCAATGATTCCTCCCCCCGAATGTCCCTCCCCCCAGCCTCACCATCCTTCCTACCCCATCAAACCCTCCCAGGTTGAACTTCCTTGAAGGTCCTGCTCAAATACACCAACTTGTCCGTATAGTCTCTTCGATCCTCACCCCCTCAACAAATACTGAAAAAAAAAATACTCTTCTTTCTGTGCTCCTATGTATTTGGGTCCTCAACTACTGTCTTACATTCTGTTTTGTTCGTATTTGCATTTTGCCCATACCTGCCTTCCCCTTCCTACCTTTTGATCTCTCCTGCATCTCCCATGGTTCCCAGCAAGGGGGTCTGCAGAGAGGACAATGCACATATAGGGGCCTGGGCTCTGAAGCCAGACCACCAGCGCTTGCATCCCTGCTCCTTTACTTCCTCACTGAGGACCTTGGGCAACCCGCATACCTCCCTGTGTCTCAGTTTCCTCATCTGTAAAATGGGGGTTTACAACAGCACCTGCCCCATTCAGCTGCCCCATATGTATACAGCATTAAAAATAGTGATCACATGTTGTAACTACTCAATAAATATTACCTAATATTATTATTATTATTAGCAGGCACTGATTGAACTGAATATCTCGGGCCAATTTTGGTTAATTTGTGTGGGAAACAGAAGTAAACATGAAGTGGACACAAGACATGTTGGAGTCATTCAGACGCCAAGAATGAAGCCATTTACCTTCATAGATTTATAAAGCCTTTCAGCAAAGTATGCAGATTTGTTCCTCATGCACTTTACTGTTAAGAGATAAAAAAAAGAAATTTAAAAAATTACAGATAAAATCTATGAGAAAAAAGTGACAGTTGTTCTCTCTGTTTCTACAAGGTATGAAATTGTATCTCTAGAAGGCTTTGTTGGAGAAATTTTAGCCAAACAATGTTTTATGAACACAGGCCATGGAGAAGTAATTAATAAAGCAATTAATTGAAGAATTGATTAATAAAGGCAATTAAAGCAAAAGGCAGCATATAGTTTCAAAATGATTACTATCTGTACCATATGAAACCGTTATTAATTCTAACAATTCATAGACCCGCGAGAGACCGCTAATTTAGGATTATCCTTCCAGTATACTGAGATGCAAAAGCACAGAGGATACACAATACAAAAAGCCACATAATACAATAACACATAAAATAGTTCTTGTTTAAAATTCTGGATCTTGGGGTGCCTGGGTGGCTCAGCGGTTTGGCGCCTGCCTTCGGCCCAGGGCGTGATCCTGGAGTCCCAGGATTGAGTCCCACGTCAGGCTCCCTGCATGGAGCCTGCCTCTCCCTCTGCCTGTGTCTCTGCCCCTCTCTCTCTCTCTCATTAATAAATAAATTTAAAAAAATAAAATAAAATTCTGGATCTTGGGGTGCCTGGGTGGCTCAGTTGGTTAAGTGGTTAAGCAGTTAAGCATCTGTTTTGGGCTCTCATAATCCTGTGGGTCAGTGGGGAGCCTGCTTCTCCCTCTCCCTCAGTCCTTTCCCCTGCGCATGCTTTCTCTCTCTCTCTCTCTCAAATAAATAAATAAGACCTTAAAAAAATTCCAAATCCCATTATGAGTGATTTAAGCATTTTTTTAATCCCTGAAAACAAATACTATATCCCCATGACAACAAGTGGTAAGGAGGAAAGTCTATAAACATTTGTTTCTCTGCTCCCCACCCACGACCCACCAGCTTACCTATGGCCAGCAGAGCATCTTCAAAGCTACCGGATGTTTCAGATTTAATACTCTGCTCAATATCCTTCTGTGATATCCTTTTGTATTCATCAAACACTACAAACAGTAACAAAATGGAATTATAAATAATAACAAAAGGGAGGAAACTAAAATTTAGGGAGAGAATGGGCACCTTTCTAGAGCTCACTACTCTTCGGCGTACATCAGGAGCAAACTGACATCAGCAACGTCAGTGAGGACCAGGACGCGTGTGGCCAGAGGAACAGGTGCAAGGAGAGGACGAAGGGATATATGGAGAGTCTCGGAGGACAGCAGGCAAGCCCTTTCCCTTGTTTAGGACCCTGTTTGCTCACACGTAAAGTGGGGATAACGTCTAGAGAGATTTGCGTTCTTTTCTCGTTGGTCCCTTGACGGGCAGAACACGTCTGAGTGTAACGCTGGCCTCAGCCGTCACCTGTATGTTCACCCTCCTTTCGGCTCATCCAAACCGGAGTCCTTCACCCCCTTCACTACCGAGTCACATTTGATAACAAATGGTTGCATCTTCTAATAAAGAGACTGGAACATAATTTTCTCTCACTTTTGGACAAGTGTTTTGGAATGCGATGAACCCTTTTGGAGATTCTTAGCCAGCCTGAAGTAGGGGTTCGAGGAGCAACATTTTTCAATGAAGACTTTGGGAGACTCTACCTTACAAATAAAATATGGGACTCCCCCTTCCCCTGAGATGCCCAGATCTGCCTTGACTTCTGTACTTCCTGGAAATGTTCGGCTCTCCCTTTCCAATTCAATGAGCCGCCAGGATTTTCCCTTTCCCCTCTTGTCCCATTCTGTATGATTCCTTCTTCTTACTTAGATGGGAATCAGCGTCTATTGCTTAGAATCAAAAGATCTAATGGACACAGCTTCTAAACCTCAGTTTTCTAGGCTGTAAAATGGAAAATAATGGTTGCTCCAATGGGATGTCGCAGCGAGCAATGCTTATCACGCGCTTAGCGCTGCACCTAGAAGATAATGAATAAAGCCTTAGTTACTTGGATCCTCCCTAGTAGTGTCGGTTGGTAAGTAAATCATGAAGTTTTCTTTATCCAAATAGTGCTTCTTCGACTGTCTTCCAGTGCAGGTGTGTTATGACTTCCCAGTAACAGACCTGGCCTAGAAGTGAAAACTGTTACAAAGTTGTTTGCATCTTTGGGAGGACCTGCCGTTTCTGGAAAATAGCCACCAGGGGGAGGTGTATGTCATTAGCCCTCTGGCAAGGGAAGGCAAAGAAACAAGGAGCTGAGTCAGAAGTTGGTGCATCTGATGGTAGCTCATGACATTTATTAACAGGTGCAATCACCTATTTTTAGTCACTGTGGAATATCCGAAATAAGTGCAACTTCCAAACGTGCCGTAATTTTCAGTTGCTTTATGTTTTCAATTTACCGAACTCATTCTTCTCAAATTTCCCGTAGGCTTTATAAATTGTGATTACAAGGCATGGTAGGTTTACAAATTTATGATGCAACATAAAGACCTAAAGAGCTTATATAAAAGATGAAATATCTTATTAAACCCTCATTGCTGTTTATAAGAAAGTAAACCTGACGACAAATGTTCTACAGTTTTTTCCCCCAAAGATGTTAAAAGCACATTATAAAGACTAGCATTATCAGAAGCAAATTAGAAACATTACACATAGGAAATAAAATTCGAAATTATCCACTATTTATCTTATGCAACAGACTCCCTAAAGAAATCATGTCTCTTAACTTTACAACTTGGATATTAAATAAGAACAAATGTCAACCAACAATTTTATTTTATTGCTCACTGACGTACTGAAGATTTTTTTTCTTATGTAACTAAAATTAAACGGGGCTGCTTCAGAAAAAAGACTATGAAGGTTGGTTTCCTACAAACAGGAATGTCAAAGTCCTACGAACATGCTGTATATCTGCTAAGTTTTCACAATGAATCTTTCAGAAATCGACCCTCATGCACATCGCTGCGCTCCTGCATTTCCAATGTTAGGCATCTAAGACACTTCAGTACGATCTGTTTCTTGTACCAAGTAAAGGGGGCAAATTCTCAATTAATTATGGACAACACAGTTTTCATTGTCTTTCAGGTCATTGGAAGATGAGGCAAGGGCCTTACCATGCAACAGGTGATTTCGGTTCCGGGAGCAGAGAACAGTCAGAAATTTCACCTCATCTGTCCCCCATTTCTTCTCTCCAGCCTCATACAGGTCCTGACGCCAAACAAAGCACAAGTTTAAAACATCACAGAGAAGGTGCCAGGAAACATGCAAATATTTCCAGAACATCAAAGAGCCGAGCTGGCTTCGTTTTATTTTGTTGGTAATGGGTGTGGAAGAGCTGTTTGTGGTGAGTGGCGATGAGTCAAGATTTTCCCTTAGGTATAAAACTGATGGGACCTTGGGGCGCCTGGGTGGCTCTGTTGGTCAAGCATCTGATTCTCCATTTCAGCTCAGGTCTTGATCCTGAGATCAAGCCCCGCCTCGGCTCCCTGCTGGGTGTGGAGCCTGCTTACGATTCTCTCTCCCTATACCCCCTCCCCATTCCCCCCAAAAAAGACTAATGGGGGAGGCAAGGCAAGCACCAGCAGCTCCCTATATGTGGACTACATGATTCTTTTTCTTTTTTAAAAAAAATATTTTATTTATTTATTCATCAGAGAGAGAGACAGAGAGAGAGAGAGAGAGAGAGAGGCAGAGACACAGGCAGAGGGAGAAGCAGGCTCCATGCAGGGAGCCCGATGTGGGACATGATCCCGGGTCTCCAGGGTCACGCCCTGGGCCAAAGGCAGGCGCCAAACCGCTGAGCCACCCAGGGATCCCTCTTTTTTTGGGGGGGGGATCCCTCTTTTTTTTAAGATTTTATTTTTAAGTAATCTCTACACCCAGTGTGGGGCTCAAACTCACAACCCTGAGATCAAGAGTTACATGCTCCACCGACTAAGCCAGGCAGACGCCCCACACTGTTCTATCTTTCAGAGCTAAAAGGAATGCCCTAGACCTGGTGTTCTGTACAGTAGCCACCAACCAAATGTGGCTATTTACATTTTAGCTAACTAAAACGAAATTACATTTAAAATTCAACTCCTCAGTCACACGAGCTACATTTCAAGAGCTCAGTGGCCTCGTGTAGCTGGTCCGACTGAAGAGTCGAATTTTATTTATTTATTTATTTATTTATTTATTTATTTATTTATTTATTTATTTATATTTTTATTTTTTTTTTGAAGAGTCGAATTTTAAAGTTTACTTTATTTTAGTTAATTAAAATTAGCTAGTGGCTACCCATCTTAGACAACGCCAATGTGAACATTTTCAGCATCACGGAAAGTTCCATCGGACAACACTGCTCTAGAAAGATCTGTGATTTGCTCGAGGCTATCGAAGGTCTCACAGTAGGACCAGGACCCATCAGTAATTGCTTACATTCTAAACAGGTAGGACTATCAGAAATTCCGCTTGCTTTTACTATATTATTGATAAATCAAAGCTACTATTCATATCTCCTCACTGCTATTTACTTTTACTTATTTTAAAGATCTTATTCATGTGACAGAGAGGGAGAGCACAAGCAGGGGAGCGGTAGGCAGAGGCAGAGGGAGAAGCAGGCCTCTGGCTGAGCAAGGGGCCTGATGTGGGGCTCGGTCCCAGGACCCCAAGATCATGACCTGAGCCAAAGTTAGAGCCACCCAGGTGCCCCACCTCACTGCTATTCATTCATTCATTCATTCATTCATTCACTCATTTCTTTAAAAGATTTATTTATTTATTTATTTATTTATTTATTTATTTATTTATTCATCACACACACACACACACACACACAGGCAGGCAGAGACACAGGCAGAGGGAGAAGCAGGCTCCATGCAGGGAGCCTGACGTGGGACTCGATCCCAGGTCTCCAGGATCACGCCCCAGGCTGCAGGCAGCACCAAACCGCTGAGCCACCCAGGGCTGCCCCCTCACTGCTATTTAAAAAAAAAAGCAAAACAGAACATAATAGCGAGTGTTGGCGAAGATATAGAGAAAATGGAACCCTGTGATTGTTGAGGAGGGTGGAGAATGGTGCAGCTGCTACAGAAAGCAGTATTATAGCTGCTCCTGAAAAAATCAAGAATAAAATTACCGTACGACCTAATAACATGACTTCTGAGTATACGGTCAAAAGAACTGAAAGCCGACCTTACGGGGATGCTCCTACACCGCGTTCCCAGCAGCAGTACTCACAACAGCCGAAAGGTAGGAGCAGCCCAACTGTCCCCTGGCACACGAACGGATGAGCACAATGTGCAGGCGTGGCATGGGTACCACGCAGCCTTAAGGAGGAAGGGAAGTCTGACCGTGGCTACGACGAGGATGAAGCTCGCGGACATTACGTGAAGCGAAATAAGCCAGTTGCACAAACACGGGTCCCGTGTGATTGACCTGGATGAGGTGCCCGGAGAAGTCAGACTCCTAGACTCAGGAAACCGAATCGTGTCAGTGGCTGCGGGGAGCGGGAGATGAGGAGTCGTTCAACGGGATTAATGGGTACGGAGTTTCCGTCTCGCAAGGTGAGAAGGTTCTGGAGACTGGCTTCACAAGACTCTGCAGAGTCAACACTCCTGAGCTGTACGCTTGTTAAATTTCTCAAGATGCCCTCACTTGACACGTTGGGCCACCCGCTGGGCTGACCTCCGTCTCCTCGTCTGGGTCTTGGTTCCTCACTGCTTTAGAGTCAATTGACCAAGCCCTGGAACTTTAGAGCCCGGAGGGCCCGGGGCTCCCTGGGCAATACCTCATCACCCTCACACCCAGAGTTGCACCCAAGATCCTCCCGTCGGCTCCTCTAGCTTCCCGCCAGCTCTTCTCGCGCCTCATCCGGCCCCATCGTCACCTGTTATTTTCCCACCGCACTTTCGTCGGTCTGTTTGTTCAGCTCTTGTTTCATCAAAATGTGTCTTCTCTCGTGTGTCTTGGGGTCCGAAGCTGAAATCTGCGTCCTCCTCCCCGCCTGGGCCCACCTGCCTCCCTCCCGCTCCTGCTGGTCCCCCGGCCACACGGTGCTTGGGCTGAGGGTGTGCTGCTTTCCGTGCTCTTCTGTTCTTACGTGATGAGCAGTCTGTCCAGAGCTGCTTTTTCCCTGTAGAACAAGACAAGCGGATTCTTCTCGGAGCGAGGCCTTGCTCCTTATTTGGATGGACGTCAAGCAGGAGCGCGGGTGGTGAGCACATGGCGAGCACATGGTGTGCGGCGGAGACCTAGGATTCCCCAAGGAGCCTCGGCCTCCGCATAAAGCTGCTGTGCCTGCTTCCAGCTTCGGGGGGGCGGGGGGGACGCCCTTCCTGAGCGCTTGGCCCAGCGGTGCTGCTCACCTGGCATTTTAGTGGGCCTCCTCCTCCTCCACAGCTTCCAGTGTTCGTGCCGATATTTCCTATTTCTGTATTTGTTTGTTTCCCAGAAGAAGGGAATCAAGATGCGTCAGCTCGCAAAAGCTCTGGAGGGCGTTTTTAATGTAGTCTTAATATATCGCACGTTTCTTCCTCAAGTAAGAATTCTAAGTGCTCCTTATGACGTCCTCCTGTGCAAGTTCCATCCCAAGAACAGATAAAATTGGACTAAAATGGGACTAGTGGGGTAACAGCCTCCGTACTTGCAGAGGTCCACCCTCCGGAAGGAACCACTACCTAACTCCACCTGCCCGGATCAGTCTTCTCATCTCGAACTCACTTACTTTCCTCCGTCAAAATCCAGTTTCGGTAACGCAGTGTTTGCAGACAGCGCCCCGGTGCTGCTGATACAAGTCACAGAGCAAAGGCTGCCAAGGTTTTCCTACGGCCTTATCCTACGAGAGCTGAAATCTCAGCTGCAGTTCTCAAGTTCCTCACCTCCTGGTGAGACTCGAAAGGATCCAGAAAAACTGACTGTGAACTCTACTCCCTCTATCCGACTCCCCCAGCCCAAACATACTTGGAAGCCCCTTTGTACCTCATCACACCCCCACGGGGAACCGTGCCCCTTGAAGAGCCCCCAAAACACCTGTTCATTGAGTTGCATGACTGCAAAGAGCCCAATTCCACCAGCTATGTGGTCTTGGACGAGGTATTTAAACCTTTGCATCGGGGTCTTATCTCTAAAGCATACGAAGGAACACTACCTGCTTCACAGATTTGTGGCGAGGAAAAAGTGTAAGGTGGTCCATGGGGCGCCCGGCGCCCAGGAGACCCCCCAGGAACTGAAGGCAGGTACAGTGTCTCAGGAATGAAGTGCCCGCTGACTCTTCACTGAAGGGGAGATTCCCCTGGGCCACGGAGGCGCCTTCCCATATCCACAGATGCTGTCCTTGAGGTAGCTGAGCCTCACAGCAGCATCCAGGGGTTCCGACGTTTTCAACACCTCCTCCCTCCTCAAAGCTTCCGGATTAAAAGCAATTTCCTGTTTTTCCAGTATGGGATGGTCCTCCTTGTACCCTCAGGACTCCTGTGGCACATTTACCCCCTCTCTTCTGGAGAAAGCAACGGGTTCTCTCCTGCAGAACCCAGAGGGCTTCACGCCTCACGTATGAATGGGACCAATTCTCCCCTGTGGCTGTACGTTGGTTAAGAGTACAGCGTCTAGATCCCAACCGCCTTGGGCCCCATCCTACTCAGCCGTGCATTCCCCGTGAAGCCTGAGCGAGGGACTGAGCGCCTGCAAGCCCCAACTTCCTTGTCCACGAGCTGGGGAGAGCAGCGCTCGGTTCGTAGGGTTACTGCAAGGATTCAATGACATATCTCGTGTCAACAGCTCACGGCAGTGTTTGGCACCTGGTAAGGACTCATTTATTTTTATTTTTTATTTTTTTAAAGATTTGTTTATTTATTTATTATTCATGATAGACACACACAGAGAGAGAGAGAGAGAGAGAGAGAGAGGCAGAGACACAGGCAGAGGGAGAAGCAGGCTCCATGCAGGGAGCCCAATGCGGAACTCGATCCCAGGACCCCAGGATCGTGCCCTGGGCCAAAGGCAGGCACCAAATTGCTGAGCCACCCAGGGATCCCCCCATTTCTTTTTAATCAGCTATTATTATTAGTGTTATCTGGCCACTAATTCAGTAAAGGAATCAGGGGTTGGCGCCAGGGCAGGCATCAGTGGTGGGCCGGGCACCAGGCAAACAACTGCCTCTTGGACTTTGAAATTAATTTTACCCGATAGGGCACATACTGCGCAGGCTGTTTTACACAGGTTCTATCAAACGTAAAAATGCAAGGTAAATGCGGCAAAGGCAGGTCCCTTCCCCTCCAAGTGATTCAGAAGATGCTCCATGGCTCTCTGGGGGGGCCAGACCATGGTCCCAAGGTCAAGAACCCAGGGATGCTTATATAATGATCCTGTGTCACCCGGAGCCTCAGGTATTTCTGCAAGAAATTTCTGCTGGGAAGCCCCAGTGGCTCAGCGGTTTAGCGCCGCCTTCTGCCCAGGGCGTGATCCTGGAGACTCGGGATCGAGTCCCACGTCGGGCTCCCTGCATGGAGCCTGCTTCTCCCTCTGCCTGTGTCTCTGCCTCTCTCTCTCTCTCATAAATAAATAAAATCTTTAAAAAAAAAATTCTGCTATTGAAGGTCATCTGTGGGAATCTTTTTTTTTTTTCCATAGGACATATCCCAGCCTGGCCGACACACACTGAAATACGAAAGGGGGGGGGGGTCCACCCACTAAAGCCTTGTTGGCAACAGAAAAGAGAGAAGCTGCAGTTCTACTGACCTGAGCATCCTGTCTCATGAGAGCATCGTCCAGAAAATGTCCTTCATCCCTGCCACCCTGAGAAAAACAAGGCAAAGGGATGAGAGAATGTCCATGAAGGCAGGGGCGGGGGGCACTGTGCAGACCGAATGCCAAGGGGGATCAGACTTCCAGCCTCGGGGGGGGGGGGGGGGCGATGCCCTTCGAATGTGCCTGCGTTACTCCCGCGGCTCTAACCGGAGCCAGTGGCTCCAGCAGACGGGGAAGGAGCGCGACCACGGCCTGCTGACTGCTGTCACCCACCCCCTCCCTCGGACGAAGGCCTTCCCAGCTGGCAAACCCGCACTGATGGACTCTGCCAAAATAGGGGCTGGGAACAGGAGAGACCCAGGGCCCGGGCCGTGGAGGGATCTAGGCCTCCCCCCCGCTCTGCCGGCTGAGGTTCATTGCCACGCGGCCTCGGGCTCCTGGGCTCCAGGCCGGCCCTGCCGGATGCTAAGTCTGGGAGGCAAAGAGCAAAGTGGGTAAAACAGGAGAAGCGGGCGCGCGCTGCGAGGAGTGGGGGGGCTACGGGGAGGCTGGAGGGCGCCCTGGGTCCTCCTCTGTTGGAAGAGCAGCAGCACTAGAACAGGCACGTCAGGAGATGAGCTGCTCTGGGCGGGGAGAGGGCACGTCTGGGTCGGAGGCGCCACTTGGGGAAGGGAGAGCGTCTGCCCCCCAGGAAGGAGGAGGGGAGGAGCCCCGTCTGCTACCTCCGGCGCCCCTGCCCTTGGTTACCCGAATCCCGAGGTCACCTCCAGGCCAAGCCATCGGCACGGCGCGGTCCCAGGACGCCCAGAAATGCTGCTCGCTGCGGGGCTCCCAGAGCCTCGGTGGTCCCCGCCCGCCCCCCACGTCCCAGGGCATCCTGCCCCCTGCTCCTGGCAGCACCCGGTCCCCCCTGCCGGGCGCCCACCAGCTCCCCTGCCCCGAGGCCCACACCCCCAGGCCCCTGCGACATGGGCACCTCGCTCGAGAAGCCCTGCTGGGTGTCCGCCACCGCGCTCTCGGCCCGAGCCTGTCCCCGGCCCCCAGCAGTGTCCCCGCCTTGATGACAGGAGCCCGGTGCCTGCCCCCCACCCTGGGGAGCGTGGGAAGCCCTGGGCAGGGGCCCCGGCACCTGTCACGTCCCTGAGGAGCCGGGGCCTGGGAAGGAGGCGAGGCACCCCGGCCGGGAAGGCAGGAGGGAGGGGGAGAGGGCCCCGTGGGAGGACTCACGGCCGACAGCGACACCAGCACCCTCTGGAACATGAAGGACGTGTCGGAGCGAATGTCGTCCTCGAGGCTCCGGCCGTACTCTGGGGACAGAGCAAGGGCACCCGTCAGCCCCCCGAGGCCGCCGGCCCCGCACCCCAACCTTCCCGCGGCCCAGGCCCGGCTGGTGGCACAGGGCGGCGGGGTGGGGGCGCCGACGGGCCGAGGACAGGCAAGCGGAGCAGTGGGTGCCCCGGGGTCGGGCCCTGGGAGGGGGCTGTCAGGGCCAAGGGCGGGGGCCTCCCCAGAGAAGCCCCAAGCCTCACGCCCCCGGGGACAGAGAACCTTGAGCCAAGCGCCCGGGCTTAGGGCCTCCTGCTCTGAACACTGACCCAACGCCCACTATTTTGTTCTCTTTCTACCAGAGCAGTACACACTTGCTACAGAAAACTAAGGGAAAAACAAATAACACGAAGGAGGGAAGAACCCCACGGGACTCCTCCGCGGCCCACTTCGTGGAATCTGATAATATCCTTCAACGGACGTTCTGATGCCGACACGCACTCCAGCGTGCGGATGCGCCGCGTTTGTTTGGCCAACCTGCCACTGGTGGATGTTTGTAGCCACGTCAACCATACCAAATAGGCTTTGTAGGATCTAAACCTTTGTGCATTTTTTTCTTTTGATCGCATTTTTAGGGCAAAAAGGCGTATTTTAAAGGCTCTTCCTAGGTGGGCTTCATCCTCTGGAGATTTTTAAGAGGGGAGCAAATGTCCATCTTTCTGAGATGCCTGGAGGGGATACAGGCCAGTCTGGAGGTAAGAGGTGGGCCCAGAAGCCCCTCCGGGCCAGCCCCTGGGACGGTAAGGCTCGCTGGTGCCCCCCGTTTTCAACACACCTGTTTGATCATAAGGAACAACCCTCCAACCTCCAGAATAATAGTAATGCTACACCGGGGGGCTCCAGGGCAGTGGCATCTTCACCAGAAAGGTCCTGAGAAGCCACGGGACTGTCACTTCCCTAGATGGGGACCCGCCTGAAAGCACAGCCTGAAGCTGGGGATCCCCCGTGGTCAGGGTCTCCATGAGGACGGCTGAATCGGTGGGCGCTACCCCCCGCTAGTACTTCTCAAATCACAAGGAAAGCCCAACGGGGCCACTGAGGGCTACATACGGAGCTGGTAGGTCTGGTTTATGCGCCGGAGCTCCTCGGGCGTCCGCGAGGCCAGGATCTCGATGAGGCAGCCCTCGTCCGTGCCGGCTCCCTGAACGCGAGGCCGGGAGAGAGGGGGTAGGAGCCCGTCTACTGCTGAGCGCGGACCTAGAGGCCTCCGGCCCAGAACCCACGGGGCGTAAAGACAACCCACGGGGTTCTAGCAATGGGATTTGCCCATGTTAATTGTCCCGCCCAAACTGCAGGGTGCTTCACCACGACGCTGTCTAGTGATCGCAACCCCTCTGGGCTGTTTCCACTGGACGGTTGCTGCGCCAGGCTGTGCCCCGCGTCTGCCCGCGACGGGGGCCGGGCCGACTGTCCTTGGCCTCCCCCAGGCTTTGAACCTCCTGGCAAAGACCAGCACCTCTTCGCTTTCCCGGACAGAGCCTGGCACGAGGCTGCTCGCTGACAGGGATTAAGGACGGGCAGGCACTGGCCGAGAACCCCCTCCGGCAGCTGGGAGCCCCCGCCCTGGCAGCCACGAGGCTTTACCTCTCCAAGGCTGCGACCCCGCCGGGAGGCTGTGGGCTGGGCCCGGGGAGGAGCAGGGCCCGGGCGCTACAGGACAGGCGGGTGCGTACCTTCATGGCCCTGCGCAGCTCCTGCACGTCGTACAGCACGGTGGGCGTCATCATCCCCACGATCACCCGCTCGAGGTTGCCGCTCAGCTCCGACTTCAGGTCGTCCATCAGGTCCTGCGGAGCGAGCCAGGGGCCCGTTCACCCGCCAGGCTCACGGCAACCAGCGGCCCTCGGGGGGGCCCGGGGACCGGCCACGAGGCCTGCACGGTCCCAGCTCCCCTGCTGGTGACTCTGAGTCGCCCCTGCCTCCTCCCGTGGTCCCTCTCCAGCAGTGGCAGCCGCACCGCGGAGGTCTGCAAAGGCTCCCTGCCGCATCCACGTGCCTACCCTTATGCCAAGAGGCCTTTATGAGGCCCTTTGCCCACTACGGCTCTGCGACACCAGCCTTTCTTCCTGTGCTTCGGCCAAAACCGCGTGTCACCGCAGACAACGCAGAGGCAGATTTGAGGAGCCGAGTATCCCCCGTAAGCAGGCATTGAAGAGCTTTGCAAAGGGCCCCGGGGGGCTCAGTCAGTCCGGCATCTGCCTTCGGCCCAGGGCGTGACCCCGGGGTCTTGGGATCGAGTCCCGCATCGGGCTCCCTGCAGGGAGCCTGCTTCTCCCTCTGCCTGGGTCTCTGCCTCTCTCTGTCTCTCATGAATAAATAAATAAAATCTTTTTAAAAAATCGATCAACTAAAGTAAGAAGCTGAGATACTGTTCAAGTCAGATCTCCGATTCTCACAAACCTGACTGCACAGCCCCGTGTTTCATCTCTTGTGCAGATTTCTAGGCCAAATCCACAGACACGGAACAGGTGAACAAACTACTTAGTGCTCAATCCGCTAACGTTGGGCATCTTGCCAAACGGCCGTCAGATTAGCTTAGTTCTGAGGCTGAATATTCCAGTTCATCTATCCCACACGTGTTCACACCGGTTTGTGCTCATTAAGTGTCTACGGGACGGAGGGGAGTTTCAAATGCCCAACAGACAGTCTGAGCTGCGAAGAATCCCTTTCCCTGCCGGGTCCGGCCACAGTTGGTGCCCCGCCACCCTGTCCCCGCCGCCGCTTAGCCTTCGAGAGCAGCTGCGGTCGCACGAGCTGAAAGGTCTCCGAGACCTCAATCACCCGTCGATAGCCCTGCCTGCCTCGGTAAAAAAGGCTTCCTGCCAATCACACAGGTGGGTCCGCAGTGACGAGGAAAGGTTGGGTGGAATGGTCCTGCTAAGTGAGCTGCCGAAAGCGGAGTTTGAAAGAGGCTCCCTTTCTGAACACGTAAGCTGACAAATCGACCGCGTGTTCACAAACACCCAGGCCCCGCTCGGGAACTTGAGAGGGTGCCCCTCGGCTGAGGATCATCAAAGGAATGAACATACGCTACAGGTGGGCGTGTGCAGAAGGGTCAGCAGGGACTCAGTCCCAGGAGAGCCTTTTTAAAACAAACAAGGTCTAAGCACCGCTTCGTCGTCCCCGGTGGCCTAAGCCCGACCAGGATCAGGGGAGGTGCTCCCAAGGGTGGCGGCGGAGTCCACTGAGCAACCGAGTCCCCGCGAGGGGCCGAGTGGGAAGACACCAAGAGCCCCCAGAAGTGACTCCTGCCCAAGGGCAGCAGATGGAACCTGCTGACACAGTTTTAGGTTTTTTCCCCCAAGAACATCTTTAAACAAGGCAAGGATCTGCTCTCGCAAACACAGGGCCACTGCAGGAATCAAGACGGGGAGGGGCCCGGCCTCCCTGCCGCGGGAGGTCCTGGGGGGCCGCAGCCTACCCTGCCGATGGTGCTCTTGTAGGCCGTCCTGATCTCCTGGCGCTGGGCCGTGCTGCGGTGGGCCAGGACTCCGATGATGGCATCTTCGTCGGTGCCTGGCAGGGAGCGGGGACAGCGGGTGAGGTGATCTGGGGAGGAGCGAGCAAACGGGTTCCCCCAGGGACACCAGCGCTACCCAAACACACACTTTTTAAGAAAAGAGGTTCTGGTTCGGTAGGTTCGTCTATTTTTTCAGGAACCAGACACGCGATTTGAGTCTCGGCCTCTCCTTTCAATCACCTGTTCGCCACTGAACAGAGGAGCTACCTCGTGTGAGCGCTGGCGTCCTCCTGCACCACGACCTGCGGGCCTGCGGCCTCCCCGGATTCCCTGGGGCGCCCACACTCACTGAACGGGCACCAACTGCTGACCGGGTCGGGCCCTCAGTCCCCCCTGCAGTTCTTGGCATGTCTTCTGGTTCTCCTCTATCTTGTGTTCTTGCTTTTTCTCTCATATTTTAAAAAAGGATTTTATTTATGTATTTGAGAGAGAGAGAGAGAGAGAGCGTGCAAGAGTGGGCCGAGCGAGAGGGAGACGCAGACTCCCGGCTGAGTGCAGAGATCCGAAGTGGGACTCGATCCCTGGACCCCAAGATCACAACCTGAGCTGAAGTCAGATGCTTAACCAACTGAGCCCCCCAGGTGCCCCCTCTCCTCATTTCTAAGTTTGTTAAAATTTCCTCTGAGTCTTGGAACAATTTGGACTCTTGATTCACTCAGCCTCTTGCAGGGGTTCCTCGCCCCTTAATTTCACTTTAATTACCAAACAGCACCGTGCTGGTTTCAGGTGTACAACATAGGGATTCAACAATTCTGTACGTCACCGAGCGCTCATCACTAGTGTATTTAGTGCCCTGCACCCCCTTCACCCAGCGCTTGCAGGGTTTTAGTGGGCTGCTCACTGCCTGCCCTGAGCTTTCAGATCCGTAGGTGTGGCTTTTCATTTCCAGGCTCTTTCCCGACCTCGGTGGTTCCCTTCTTAGAACTGCTAAAAAAAAAAAAAAATTCCCACTGTGCAATATCCTACCAAAACTTCGTGAGAATTACAAATCGTAAACGTTCTCAATTTTGTTTGCAGGCTTCTTACAGCAACTTTTACCGGGACGGCTTTATTCTGATTTTTTCAAAATCGGTCCCTTGTCTTACTAACAGCTGGACGTCCATGCATGTTTGGTGAGTTTTCCGCTTCCTCACTGTTTAACCTGTATGGGGAATTGTGTGGGGCTACGGAAAAGATTCTGCTGGGAGATTTCAGGGAGAAATGAAAAAATGTAGATTTACCATAGGTATTCTTCGCAAGATTAGAGATCCAGAAAAGTGTGAGCTGTATGTAGGGAGGAAGCTATAGCACTGTGTTTACGTATCTGAGGGCCCTACTCTCTGTCGTATTAGGGAAAAAATGGGGGTACGCCTGTGAGGCTCAGTGGCTCAGCATCTGCCTTCAGCTCAGGGCGTGACACCGGGATCCCCCGTGACCAGGGGTCCCGGGATCGAGTCCCGCATCGGGCTCCCTGCATGGAGTCTGCTTCTCCCTCTGCCTGTGTCTCTGCCTCTCTCTTTCTCTCTCTCTCTGCGTCTCTTATGAATAAATAAAATCTTTAAACAAAACAAAACAGGTCTCTATATACAAACTTCCTGTTCTCCTTCAGAACTCTGAGTGGGGGCAGGTCCATCTTTTGCTCACCCCTATTTCTATAAAAGGCACCATCCTTTCAGTTAGTCAAATCTGAATCCTCAACATAGCTTTGATTTTTTTTTTTTTTTACCCTCCCTCATCCTCTACATTCAAATTTCCTGCCAAGGCATACAAAACCTAACTCTAAAGTCTTTTTTGCATGCTTCTCCTCTTTGATTCCTACCACTACTACTCAGATTCAGGACTTTAGGGGCTTAGACAAATGTAAAGTCTGGTAATTGGTATTCTTATCTCCTACTTGGTCTTTCCAAACTCTTGCTAGATTAATTTTCCTAAAAAGTAAAAGTCCCGAGTATCCCCCGCCCTCAGGCTCAGGAATGTCCCCCCTGCCCCCATCTGCTGGATTTCTACAGGAGCAGCAGTCTGGCATTGGAGACTTTCTGCGAGACCCTGCGTGCTGTTGTAAATACGCACAGGAAAGGAACTCAGGCAGCCAGATTTCACAGACCTCGCTCTTGAATGATGGTACTTGCTCCAATGTACTGCACTCCTTCCTCCCGACCTCCTTCACTCTCGGTCTCTTGGTTTGTACGCCCCTCTGGCCACTCCCTAGGATGTTGATTGTGGCGCTGGTTTCCTGGCCATCTCCCCACGTCTGGGATTCTCCAGGGGGCCTTCTCAGCGGCAACCTCAGGACCGCCCTCTGGACCGGCCGACAACTGTTTTCCAACAACCTCCTGGGGCAAGCCACATTTCCATGTATTTTCTGTGACTCCCCTAGGCCTCCACCGACCCGGAAAATGGGACAATACTCGCACTCATCCCATGCCTTTGCTGATGCGACTCCATTCAGCTGAAACACATTCTCTCTTACCTCTGTTGCAACAACCTCTCTCGCAAGGCTCATCTCAAATTCTACAGTCTCTGAGAAGTTTTGCCTGATGTCCCCAAATTAAATATGATCTCCTCTCTGAACCTAATGGTACCTTATTTGTGCCCCTCCTATCACCAATATATTATGACAGCTGTTGTCACATTACTACAGTCATCTCCGCTCACGCCATGCCCATCCAGCACCCATGGCCTCCGTGAAGTAGGTGTTGTAATCCTTGTCTCCTCCAACTATCTGCCTCACACTGACGGGTCTCCACACAGCAGACACTGACAAGCATTGGCTGTCAAACGTCTCCTGACTTTTATTTTGAGAATTCTGAATGCCGTGTGGTCCACGCCCTGAATTACGGTGTTCTTGCTGTATACCAAAGAAGCAGGAGAACGGGGGAAAAAGAGTGGGCCAAGCACATTTTCCATCTTATTCACGAAAGAGGGAAAAATGAGAAGGCTGTCTAGATTCAGAACAATGTTCCGTTCAGAGCGGGGCAGCAGGAGAGCATAGTGACTTAAACTCCAGCTCTGGAGTGAGACTGCCTCGGTCTGGCTGCCTGGAATTGCCTAGCTCCTGACTCTAACGTCTACTGGCTCTGGGATGTTGGGCAAGTTCGCCAAGCTGCCTAAATCTCAGCTTCTCAGCGGTACATCAAGCTTTTGCCTGTTATTGTTCTTGTCATATCTGCTGCTAATAACACTGGGGCTAAGTAAAATGAGCTCTCGGAGGGGAGAAAAATTGGGAAATAAGGCTTCAAGATCAAATGTTTTAAGCCACATCTCAAGGAAATTATAAATAGCAGCTATGAACCAAGGGCACTTCTCTGGGTAAACGTCTACACAGGCAAGAGACTAATCCAGGGCAGCCTGCAGTGTGCCCGCATGCCTACAGGAGGCCCTGCTTGTCAAGTGTGACTCCTGGCTCAGTGCCACTTGCTATGTGACTTCACTTCTCTGGGTCTCAGCTTCACATTCCATGAAATGCGCTGAAAATAACAAAAGCAGTTGCTGCTTTCACTGCATTACTGGGCCGTCGTGTTACACACGCATCGAAATAATATTTGTGAAAGTGCTTTGTAAATCCTATGGCACTATACATACACACGCTGCACCAGCTGGAAAACAGGTACGTTGCTCAAGTTTTATATGTAGATTCGTAATGTCCTCGTGCAAAACAGAGTTTTAAACAAAAAACAGATTTAAATGAGGAAATCCAGAATGAGTGCATTAAATGTTATTTCTGTAACACTAAAAAAGTGATTAATATCCTCTCATCTAATTTGTCTCAAAAGCCAGTTTGTTCCCACTGTATTTTCTTAGAGACCTACTCATTTTTTGCCAGTGGACACAACACCCTCTGTGGGACTCTGTGACGCACAACACATCCGGGGGCATTCACCTCCGCTGGGACACTCACCAAGCCCCTTCATGGCCTTCCTCAGGGTCTGTGCATCCTCGGTAGCACTGAATCCTGATGCGGGTTTGACGGTGCCTCCCTTGGCTGCCTGAGCACACAGAGGAAGATGTAAGTGAGCGGCGTCATCATCCCCCTCAGCACAAGCTGCTGCTGGGGCTACAGCAGACTATTCTAGATACCACAGTGAGCATGAGAGATGGGGTTCTTGCTCCCATGGAGCTGAGGCTCTAGTGCAGGAGGAGGGAGACAATCAACAAGCCAACAAATGAATACATAAATGGTGTCCAACGGTGGGAAGTGCTAGGGCGCCAATAGAGAGGTCCTGCAGGGGCTGCTCTGAGCAGCAACATGTAGGCTGAGATCTGAATGACATGAAGCAGGTGGCCATGCAAAGACAGGGGGTTGCAGGGTGGGGTGGTGGTGGTGGCGGGGTTACAGGCAGAGGAAACAGCCAAGGCAAAGGCCCTGAGGCTGTGCCTAGCTTGTATGCGAGAAGCAGGACAGAGGCCATTGCGGCCCCAGTTGGAGGTGGGCAAGGAGGACAGTAGTAAGATAAGTTCCACTATCACCTGTGCAGTCATCTCATCTGCACCCCCTGTCCCAAGAAAGGAACAAATCAAACCTGAATCCAATCAAGCCCCTAGAGCCAAATACCAATTTACAGAAAATAGAAGGGAGAGGAAAATGTCAACCCACAGTACAGGGTTGTAATCCACAAAATCCAGGGTTTACAGGGTTAAAGAGGATAAGATTCCAGAATTTGCTTCAAAATAACACGGGGGGGGGGGGGGAGTTGGAGATAAAGAAGAAACAGGACTGACCATAGGTTAATAATTATCAGGACGCACACCGGGGTCCTTTTTGATACTCAGTCTACTTTCTTAGGTATTTACACTTTTCCATAGGATTTTCAAAAGTGAAAAAGGATGAAAGAGAATCAGAGGGGTGGGCTGAGGCCAGAGCAAGACAGCCCTCACTGGGGTAAGGGGTTTCTAGTCTGTCCTAAGTGCATTGGGAAGCCACCAGGATGTCAACGGAATTCAGACCAAGCTGCAGACCTTCCTCTGTTCACAGCTGGTGCTATGTGCTTTTAGGATGCTAGGAGCTCACAAGCTGAGGGAAGGCAGAGACAGCGGAGGATGCATTTAGGGCACAGGTCACAGAGTAGGTGACTGTTTCTGGTGACTTTTCTGATAATGGCCTTTTTTGGTGAATGGTGGTAGGATGTTCTGGTGATGGGAGGAAACAGAGCGAGAGGATATGCGCTCCTGCAAGGGGGAAGGGTTTTACATCTTAGGTCAGCCTTAGGTGAAATGAACCCATAGCCTTGTGCTCAGGATCTAGTAAAATCTAATATTCATGGAGAGAGTTTTGTCACTGTTACATCACTCTTGAGGTCACAATCACTGTGAAGGGAATTCTAACATTGAGGGAAATTTCATCTGTGGGTCTTTGTGAAGCAGACACAGCGGGCTCCAGGGAGAGGTAGCAAAGCTTCGCGGGGGGAACACAGACGTTGGGAGTGCCATAGACCCAGCCTTGAATCCTGGCTTCAGCCCTTCCTAGCTGGGTTGTCTGTAGGGGGGGGGTCTCCTTTTTCCCACTTGTACTTTGAAAATAATGATATCAACTCACAGAGTTGTTGTAATAATGAAGCAGAATAAGATGGCAAAGCGTTTAGCACAGAATCCAGCAAATATTAAACGCTGAAACAAACATTCAGACTCAGTGGCTATCATCATCATCATCATCATCAAGTATGATTCCAACATCTCCACAATAAACAGGAGAGTGAAATTCTTTTGTCTATTTCTGATAATGTCTCTTTAAAAAAAGGGGGGGTATTTTTTCAAGATTTTATTTATTTATTCATGAGGGACACAAGGAGAGAGGCAGAGACACAGGCAGAGGGAGAAGCAGGCTCCATGCACCGGGAGCCCTATGTGGGACTCGATCCCGGGACTCCAGGATCACGGCCTGGGCCAAAGGCAGAGGCTCAACCACTGAGCCCCCAGGCGTCCCACTGATAACGCCTCTTAATGTAAGCCTATGGGGTAACGTCAAAGCAAAATCCAGAAGACAGAGTTTGTACAGGTGGAAAAAACAATGTAGAATAGATCTAAGGCTCTCTGGTGTTTTAATTTCATCCAATGATATGATGCGGACCATCTAAAGGAACAGAGGATTTTTATGTCCTTAGGGAAGTCCTCTAGTGAGATGGACCTTGCTCACTGGGGCCCGCATCAAGCCCATCCAAAGGCCTCGGGTACCAGACAGTGTGGGCCTGGTTTGCCGAAAGCCCAGGCTTTCACCTCCTGGATGCGGTCAGCATCTAGCACTTGGAGACCACCCTCTATACACCTGACAGAAGGAGGTAGAAATCACTGGGTACTGTTAGAGGTCAAGTGTAACCCCCAAAAAGACACGTTGAAGTCCTAACCCCCAGCACCTGAGAATATATCCTCATTGGGAAAGAGGGTCACAGCAGATGTAATTAATTACATTAAGATGAGATCATTCTGGAGAAGGGCATCCCCTAAGCCAATATGGTTGGTGGCCTGCTAAGAAGACAGCACATGAAGACACAGACACACAGGAAGAACAGGACATGACCCTGAAGGCAGGGATTGGGGTTAAGAAGCTGCAAGCCAAAGAATGCCTAAGACTGCCAGCAAACCACCAGAAGCTAGAAAGAGGCAGGGAAGTGTCACCTACAGGTTTCAGAGGGATCCTGGCCCCACCAACATCTTGATTTGGGATTTCTGGCCTCCCGAACTATTAGACAAATTCCTATTATTTTAAGCCACCCAGTTTGTGAGACCTTGTTACGGGAGCCCTAGGAAGTTAATACAGGTACCTTAATTCTTTTCTTCCACTGTGCATCAACAGCAAATGGGTGACGTGCTGTCAAAACTCCAACCTGGCCTAACTCAGCCACTGGTTCCACTAGGAGACAGCTTTCCGGGTGAAATGTTTCACGGCATTCTTTTGAGCTCTATTGCAAAATTTTGGATGGTTCCCAAACACTGCATTGACCTTTAACACAACCTGCATTGCTGAGGGATGCCATTGTGGGATTAAAATTAATATCTAACAAGAAATATCGATGGAGGCATTTGCAAAGATGTTTCAGCTTATCAATGAACATTCTCAGTGACTCTTTCTTCCAGGAAAAAGATAAGCTCAGGAAACTTGTTCCTGTTAGCCCTACGGTAAGCGTATTGATCAAGTTCCAGGGCATAGTGGACCATTATCCGTCCTGGCACAGCGAGGGATCCTGTACCAGGAAGGCTTCGTGTGGCAGCAGCAGACAAAGGAAACAGGGAGGATGCAGGAAAGAATAACAAAAGCGAATGGCTAGACAAGGTGTTAGATCGTAATCGATGAAATATTATCCAGTTATTAAAATAATCAGGAAGGTAATAAATGTCAGAAGTTGGACTACGATAGATTAGAACACGGTGGGTCCACAAGCCCTCAGGAGCTTTCCCGGGTCGCCCGAAACCGCCCCCCTGGGCAGGGGGCAGGCAGGGAGAGGCTGAAGGGAGGTTGGCAGCGGCTCTAACAACGGCAAAGGGAACTTAGACACGAGGCTTGTCTTACGCAGCAGCAAGACAAATCGATCCCTGGACTCGGCCCCGAGATCTTCAGGTTATAAAGAGGCCCTGAGCGGGCTCAGTCACGTTTACGGTGCCGCGTCTTCAACACCGCATCGCCATCTCAAGGCTGTACCCTTGGGAAGCAGATCCTCCAAAGACGGGGGCGGGGGTGAGGAGCCTCCGACGGCCCAGGTCCGGCTCCCTGGCCAGTCAGCGGTCACATCTTTTTTGATGACACTCCCCAGTGAATACCAATCAGCAATCAAAGGGCATGAGGAAACAAACAGCCGATACGGCAACATGGACGGATTGCCGAAACGTAATGCTCAGTGGAAAAAAAGCCAGACGCAGAGGACCATATACTCTATGGCTCCGTTGATAGGATGTTCCGGAACAGGCAAAACTCATCTACGGTAATAACAATCAGAACGCTGGCTGCTGGCACATAAACAGACATAGAGATCAATGGCACAGAATAGAAAAATCCAGAAATGGACCCTCAACTCTGTAGTCAACTAATCTTTGACAAAGCAGGAAAGAAGATCCACTGGAAAAAACAGTCTCTTCAGCTGTGCTGGGAACACTGAACAGCCACGCGCAGAAGAATGAAACTGGGCCACTTCCTCACACCACCCTCAAAGATACACTCGACATGGATGAAAGACCTAAATGTGAGACAGAAATCCATCAAAATCCCAGAAAACAAAAAAACAACCAACCAAAGGAACAAACAAAAAATCCTAAAGGACAACTCAGGCCACAACCTTTTTGACCTTGGCCACAGCAACTTCTGGCAAAACACGTACCAAAGGCAAGGGAAACAAAGGCAATAATGAACTACTGGGACTTCATCAAGATAAAAAAGCTTCCGGACAGCAAAGGAAACAGTCACCAAAACCGAAAGACAACCGACAGGATGGGAGAAGGTATTTGCAAACGACACATCAGATAAAGGGCTGGTACCCAACATCTATAAAGAACTTACCAAACTCTACTCCCAAAGAACAAATAACCCAATCATGAAATGGGCAGAAAAGAAGAAACACATGGGTGTTATGCTATATGTTGGCAAGTTGAAGTTAAAATAAATTAAGATTTTAAAAATATCTAAAAAGTGGGCAGCCCAGGTGGCCCAGCGGTTTAGTGCCGCCTGCGGCCCGGGGTGTGATCCTGGAGATCCAGGATCAAGTCCCGCATCGGAGTCCGTGCGTGGAGCCTGGTTCTCCCTCTGCCTGTGTCTCTGCCTCTCTCTCTCTCTCTCTCTCTCTCTCTGTCATAAATAAATAAATAAATCTTAAAAAAAAAAAAAGATCTAAAAAGTGGGAGGACACCTGGGTGCTCAGTGGTTGAGCATCTGCCTTTGGCCCAGGTCATGGTCCCAGGGTCCTGGGATTAAGCCCTGCTTCGGGCTCCCTGCTCAGTGCGGAGTCTGCTGCTCTCTCTTCCTCTACCCCTCTTTGCCCCCTGCTCATGCTCTCTCTCACTCGGTCTCTCAAACAAATAAATAAAACTTAAATAAAATAAAATAAAATGATGGAAAACAATTGGGAATTACAATATTGCGACTATTGTGTGTTTTTCCTGACCTTTAAAAATGTCCTTTAAAAAAAATAAGAATAAAAAAATAAAAATGTCCTTTATCTGTCCAACAAATATCAGTGATGATGGAGAAACAGGTACTAGGAGGAAAGATGAGAGCAACTGAGGTCACCTTCCTCGAGTGGACAGCACAGTACAGGGTCACTGGGCCACAGGCTTCCTACGTGAGCTTGCTGCAGGCAGGAAGACTGTCCCATTAATTTGGAGTCCGCAGGGCCAAGTACCACATCTGGCACAAGGTTGGGACCCTGTAAACATTTCTGAATAAATGGTCTGTGTCCCGGGAGAATCAAGAAGAAACGAATTTTAAAACAAAGCACGGAGATCTAGGGCAGAGATGAGTGAGGTTTTGACTGTCATGGATGATGAAGAAAATTCTAGAATGTCCAAGGTAAAACAATGTTAAGGGTATATTAGTCATTGTCCTCCACGTTCCTAGAGGAGGCCAGTTGGAGCTGGCGGGATCTCCGGCTCCTCTCCAGGTGGAAGACTGTATGTCTACTACTCCTTCCAGGGGCCAGGGGTCAGGATCACCTGTGTGTCCAGGTACCTTATTTGGGCGGGAGGAGGGGAGGAGACGGCCACCTGCGGGGAGAGCCCGGCTGCAGGGGGGAGGGGGAGGCTCAGCTTCCGCTCAAGACCGGACTTTATGAAACTCTCAAGGCTCCAACTCGCAGCCCGCCCCAAAGATCCGCTAGTGCAGCCCCGAGGGGCCCGCTCACGCCCCAAACAGGAGGCGGGTGGCGAGCCTGCCCGCTGACACGCACCCCTCCCCATGAGCCTGCGGTGGTGTCGCGCCAAGGTGTGGGTGGCACTTGTGTCCTGCAGGTGGGCCTGGGGGATTTTTCGTTTTTCCTTTTCATGTGCCTGCAGTTTGTACAGTGAACACACAGGAGCTCCTGGGATGAGAAAACTACGACTTCTTTTTGTATCTCAGGATGTTGGAAGAAGGATTCAAAGGCTTCTGCTTTTGAGTAAATTTTCAGGGTCAAGTGACTTACTGTCCTGGGAAGAAATTAAAACGGGGGTTGACTGAAAGGGAGGAAGGAAGTGAGGGAGGAAGGGAGGGAGGCAGCCAGGCCCTTTTCACTTCCCTCTCTCCTCTCCACTGAGGAAACAGCTCCGCAAAGTCCACTGTCCCTGAATACACATCCTGCACCTGCCGCGGGCACCAGGTAGGGAGGCGCTCGTGCACCCGCCGGCCGGGCAGCAGGTAGGCCAGGTGCCCCCGCGCTTACCATGGCGGCTCCGCGGGCTCCACGTCCCGGTCACGGTCACAGTCCAGAAGCTGCTCTGTGAAAGAAGCAGAGGGGCGGTTTCCGCGATGAGCGATGCGTCGCTAAAATCGCTGACCACGGTGACCTGCGGTTTGCTCAAAGGTGGGTCACCAGGGAAAGCCAGCGCCGTCCCCGCAGGCCAGCCCCATCGATCGCCGAAGGCACCGAGGCCAGGTGGGTAACAGGGAGGCTGCCGCGGACACCGTCCCCGCTGCTCTGCAGACGCGCGTCCCCCGAGGGGACAGGAGGCCGAGGCCCCGGGGAGGGACGGCCACCGCCCGGCGACCCCCTAGCCGCTGCGTGCTCGGCCCCCGCTCTGTCCCCGCAGCGAGGCCGCTCGGTCCCGGCGTGCGGGCGTCTCGGCCGGGGCTCTGGGCTGGCGCCTGCCGGCCTCAGGGAGCACCCGGTCCTGCAGGGCCCACTCCCGTCCCGCACCTTCCGTGGGCTCCCTGGTGTCCCAAGAAGCATCCGGAGCCAGGGCAGCCCTCAGCAGCCTCAGGGCCCCTCCCGCTGAGCCCGCCCGGTGTCCACGCGCTGGCCGGGCCACCACCGAGCCCCAAGGGCTGCTCCTCGTGGCCCGATGCGTGGGGAGCCAAGAGCCGGGCTCCCGGGGACGGAGCCGCCACTTGCTCTGGGCCCCGTCCTGGGAGGGCTCAGGGGCGCCACCTTCCCCGGCAGTCGGACGGAGCCTGCTCATCAGGGCACAGCCTGCGGACACGCTCTGCGGAGCAAAGTCTCCCTTTACTGTGCTTTCCACTCGAGGAAGGAAAATTCTAGAATGACTAAGGTAAGACATTGGTTTCTACATCGTTTTGGAACGTGATGACCCTCCGTCATCTGTGGTCTCGGTCAACTGCGATCCCGAAGCAGGTGGTCCTCCTTCTGACACCACATCAAAGGGAGACGAAAGCTGCTCCCAACGCCCATGTCCCCCAACTCACTCCGCCGCGTGGCACCCCATGTGCCCCCCCTCATCGTCATAAGAAGGGAGACTACAGCATCACAAGGTGTCTCGAGAAAGGGAGACCCCATTTATATGACTTTTATTACAGAATAACGTTAGACATTATTTGTTCTTGTTGTTAATCTCCTACTAGTTTACAAATCAGACTTTCCCACAGGTACGTCTGTACGGGACAAAGCAGCTCGTGCACCGTTCCAGGCCACATGCGGTTCCGGGCACCCGTCGGGATTCCTGGAACACACACCCCTGGATAAGGGGGAGCCGCTGTGGATGACAACACGTAAGGAGGCCGGAAAGGAAAACTCCTCCCCCCAAAAGCCGGCCTTTAGTAGAAATACTGCCAATCCTTTGACCACATCAAGAAGTGGGAAAAAATGCTTGAGCAAAACCTTCTGGAAATACTGAGAGTCATTATTCAATGAGCTAGAAATAACTTACTAAAGGGGAAAGAATGTATCCTGCGTGAACACGGGGTACACTTACCAGACGGGACAGCCCGCCGCCTAAGTCCACCAATCGAGAGACAGCTGTCGGGTAGTCCTTACTTACCAGCACCAAATGAGTTTCTCAGTAGATTCTAGAAATGGGGATGCCCAGGGGGCTCAGCGGTTGAGCATCTGCCTTTGGCTCAGGGCGTGACCCCGGGGTCCTGGGATCGAGTCCCGCATCGGGCTCCCCGCAGGAGCCTGCTTCTCCCTCTGCCTGTGTCTCTGCCCCTCTCTCTATCTCATGAGCAAATAAATAAAATATTAAAAAAAATTCTAGACATGAATGCTGGAAATGCTACCCCTTGATTCTTCCATCGGGTATTAACATGTAACGTTACCCTGCACTCACGCTTCCTGGCGCGGTGTCTGGCACCTGCTGAGGGGCGAGTCGCTCCCAGCATGGAGGGAAGGGGTCCCTCAGACCACCCCCGCTGCGGGATCGCCCCAGGCCTCCTCTTAGACCGTGGGCTCCCAAAGAATGCCGGGCCCTTCGTCCGGGAGCTCGACCTCAAGGTCCTTCCACGTTGCCCTGCAGCCCGAGGAGCCGGGACTCTTTCTGGGGGTCCCTCCTGGGCCCCGCTCCCTTGGTCCGTCCATGCTCTCGTCTGGAGGCCGGCCTACCAGCCCACTGACCGAACGACGTCGCCAGGATCACATTGACCCAGACTTTGTGCTGGGCTTGAGGAAGCTTCTTGGCCACTTGCAGGTGGGGCAAAATAATGAGCAACCGTGCCGCGGCTTTAGGAAAAGGGCAAACCCACTCGGGCTTGGGCCTACGGCTCGAATGACCTTAAATGCTCCGGGGCCCTTCACCACAGAGAGAGGGGGCCATGTGTTAGTGATGCCCCCCAAAATCCAAGGGTTACCCAGTCTGTGGATGGGAAGCTGCACCTGCTTTATGGGATCTGGACTCTACAACTGGGGTTCACAATAGGGCTCCTGAAAATTATTTTTTTAAGATTTTATTTATTCCTGAGAGTCCCAGAGAGAGGTGGAGACCCCAGGCAGGGGGAGAAGCAGGCTTCCCTGCAGGGAGCCCGATGCGGGACTCGAATCCAGGACCCAGGGTCATGGCCTGGGCCAAAGGCAGATGCTGTCCCGGGGAGCCCCCGGGCGCCCCCAGCACAGGGTTTCCACCGTCCTCACAGCAGACACACGGATCAAGGCCGTCCAATCCCGAGCACTACTTGAGCGGCTGCCGTGCAGGCAGCAGCGTGGCGGGTTCCTCCCCACTCTCCCGGAATTTGGAAAACAGGCAAATTAGATGGTTTCCTGAGCATCAGACTAGTGAAATCAGCGAAGCGCCCTCCAAACAAAGCCATGCAAATTCATTTCAGGGAGAAGGGGGCCCGCTCCTGACCTGGGGGCGGCCCCCTTCAAAGCGGGTTTGAAGCAGGGTTGCGCCACGGGCGACACCTGGATGGGCCATTGGGCACAGCCCCCAGGAGACGGTGGCCTGGCCCGGCCCGGCCCAGGGTCACCCCCTGCTCTGATTCCACAACGGCCACACCCGCCCTGGCCTGGAGTCGGCTGCCGTGTGGCCCGTCCTCCAAGTCCCTGCATGAAGGCTTCGCTGCAGGTGTCAGCACTCGGGGGTGTGTGGGGGGGGGGCAGGGAGCCTGTCCCCAGCGCCACCCCGGGGCCTGCTGCTTGTGAGGGGCAGGTGGAGCCCCTGCCAGGGCCCGGGACACGGACGGCCCCCGACAGCCCCCGACAGCCCCCGGCCCCAGCGGCCTCCGCTCCATCACCAGGTCGCCCCAGGCCCAGGCCGCGCAGCCCGGCCCTTACCGAGGGATCTGCAGTCCTTGGAGGAGCTGCTCTCCGCGTCTCCCCGGGAGATCACATGTGACAGAGTCCCTCCCCGGCTGTCCCTGGCCCTCGGTTTCAGTTTACACCCCACAGCGTGACACATTTACACTTGTCCTCCGGTTGCGGGTTGCGGAGGGTGTGCCCGGGGCCCCGCCCAAGGCGCTGGCTTTGAAGGGCTTTCCAACCCTGTGGAATCGGGAAGTGAATACAACCCTTTGTCCTTGGAACTTAGATCCTTCTAAAAGTAAAGGAAGGTTGTTGCCTGGATGGGGTTTGCGTCTGGAAGAAATAAGCATTTTGTCGTTTTGTTGGGTCTTTAAAATTTATTTATTCAAGAGACACAGAGAGACAGAGAGAGGCAGAGACCCAGGCAGAGGGAGAAGCAGGCTCCACGCGGGGAGCCCGACGTGGGACTCGATCTTGGATCTCCAGGATCGTGCCCTGGGCCGAAGGTGGCGCTAAATCGCTGAGCCTCCCCCCCAGGATCCCCCAAAAATAAGCATTTTGAGACACTTCCTCAAAGGCAGAGCGTGCGCGCTAAGGGGAGGCCGACAAACCAGCAAGGCGGCCCGCTAGGAATCTTCGGGATGGATCTCTTCCTACCCAATAGGGGGCAAACGACTTAGTGACAGTCTTTTGTCCAAATTTTAGCCACCGCTTTGCAGTATTGTGGGGGACAATAATTTCAATCCACAAGTGATTTTATTTTATTTTTTTAAAGATTCTCTTCATCTAGGGATCCCTGGGTGGCTCAGCGGTTTGGCGCCTGCCTTTGGCCCAGGGCGCGATCCTGGAGACCCGGGATCGAGTCCCACATCGGGCTCCGGTGCATGGAGCCTGCTTCTCCCTCTGCCTGTGTCTCTGCCTCTCTCTCTCTCTCTCTCTGTGTGTGTGACTATCACAAATAAATAAAAATTAAAAAAACAAAGATTCTCTTCATCTATTTGACGGAGAGCGAGCGAGAGCAGGCACAAGCAGGTTGAGCAGCAGCGGGAGAGGGAGAAAGTCCCCGCTGAGCGGAGCCCGACGCGGGGCTCGATCCCAGGACCCTGGGACCATGACCTGAGCCGAAGGCAGACGCTCGACCTGCTGAGCCTCCCGGGCGCCCCGACAAATAATTTTAAAGCTCCCCCTCCTCTGTCACCCCCACAGGCGGCGAAGTCCGTCGGAGCGGCCCCCCACCTGGGATGCTGTGTCCCAGGGCGGGCGGGGAGAGGTGCAAGCGGCCAGCGCCCCTCCCGCCCGTGGCCCATCTGACCCGACGGCCCCCTGCAGCCGGGCCCTCGCCTGTGCTCTGCGAGCCGCGGGACAGTCCCCAGCGCCAGCCCGGGGTGAGCTCCGGCCGATCACCCTGGGCCGCACGACTGGGGAAACGGAACCGGCGTCCCGAGCGCATGCTGGGCGAGGGGCCGGGTGCCCGCCTCTGGGTGCCGGCCGTGCCTTGCCAGACACACGGCCCGGGGCGGCGCACCCGCGGTCCCCACGGGGAAGGCGTCTGCTGAAGCCTGTCCCCCCGCTCCTGTGGTGTCAGCCTGCATAGACTCGTGCTTGGGTTTTCCTAAGTGACGCTCTTGGTCAGCTGAGCCGTGCGGGGGGGGTGACACGGGGCCTGGAGGTCCCAGGCCCTCCCGCCGGCCGCCCTCCTGTCGGCAGCCGCGCTCTATTTTGTTGCTTTTGACCATTAAGCCTCTTAACTGCAGACAAACTGCTTGGATTCCCCCCTCTGGGGCCAGTGGCGCAGACACAGGACGGCGG